ATTTGATCAATTTTCATAGTGTTCATATATTACAGGACTTCATATTTTCATTGGGCATTGAATGGTTGTGTGTGTGGGGTAAATGTTATGACTGTTATGTGGCACATTTCATCAAAAGAGAACAATTAGCTTAAATTACAAGACTGGGAGAGGGCAAATTGCAGCAGAAGTAGCCAATTAGCCACATTTGTAAAACTTTTAATGTCTCCACAGTAAATTACCAAAAATAAAAATAATAATAAATAAATATAAGAAGAAGAAAAAGAGTTCTAATGTCATATAATATGCAGTAAATTTGACTAATTTTCATAGGTTTCGTTTATTACAGGACTTCATATTTTCATTGGGCTTTGAATGGTTGTGTGTGTGAGAGAGAAACAAGTACTAAATAAAAGAGACCTGTTTTGACCAAAAAGGCGGAGTGAGCATTATAGAGAGACCATACTCCTTTATCTAGATACACAATTATGTGGGGTACAAGGATTCAAAGCATCCGTTAAACAATTAAAGGCCTATTTTGAGAAGTTCCATAGAAACAATTTTAAAAACTATAAAAACATAAAACAGTTTTCACTTTTTAGAAAATTATTGTTTTGGATTGTTTTCATTTTTTTTTTATTATTATTTGGAAATAAAAAACTATTGTAGGAAAATTAAACCAATCAATTCCTAGTTCTCTTAGTGCTCTCTGATTTGCACACTAAACAAAAATTTGCTGAAGACATGAAAAGAAAGGGTGAGTGTAAGTGTGGAGTATGGTTGCATACCTCGGTAAAGGCAAGGTTGATAAGGTAAGACGAGAACTGGCCTCCAGTGATGAGGAAGCCATTAGTACTGACCAGGGGTCCAGGGCAGCCCGAATTTTTGCCGAAGAAGCTTCTGAGATGTCCAATGGTGCTGTCATCGATGCCATTCCGACATTAATATTTAGGGGATATTAATAAAAATTTCAAAAAAGTTTGGGGTGCATGGCCCTACTGGCCCTAGCTCCGTGCCTGTGCTTTGCTACAATGATGGATCTGGTAAGGGAAAGGTGATAATTTTATAGAGGGGGGAGGGGGAATAGGAAGAAGACAAACTTGAGTTGTTTTTGTAATTTTAAAATAATAATTTTTAATATTTTAACTTAACATCAAATAACAAGGTTATATTTGACATTTCACAATCTATTTAACAATTGATTTAGAATAATTTGATCAATTTTGTTAGTTAAGATGTTAATGGAGGTTTTTGTGCCCAATTTTAAAAGTTGAAGGGGGTTTTATAATTTTAACTCGTAGCTTTATGTTGATCCCATGTGAGATGTTGCGGTGGAAATTAATATATGTTATGTATAAAGGGTGAACAAGTTGTAGAGACGAGGAAAAAAAAAAAAAGGCCTCAGAAATAGATTTAGAGTCAGTTTGAGATTGCTGTTAGAATGTTAAAAACGCTTTTAATAGTAGAGCGCGTTTGGTGGCACATTATATAAAGCACTTTTTATACTTTGAGCACTTTTAAAATTGTTTGGTAATAATATTGCTTAAAGCACTTTTATTACTTATTTTACTATATTACCCTTACATTAAACATATTATAATTCATTAAACATATGATAATTCTCTAATATTAAATATTATAAAATTCCATTGAGTTCAATGATTTATAAAGATGAACTTGTATTTTATTATTATTTTTTTTAAATATCACATATTTTGTTTATGATATCAAATTTGTATTGAGTTAAACATATTTTAATGATGATTATTATAATGAAATTTAATAATATAATGTTTTGTAATATAAATAACATTTCATAAAATAAAACTAAACACTTTAACCACAATTAATAATCTTATTACTTGTCATTTAAGATAATAGCATAAATTGGGAGGGCGACTGAAGAGTCTAAAATAAACTAAGATCTTTGTTTGTTACCGAATCCCACGCATTGTTTGCTATTTATTTGTAGAAGCCTAAAAGGGATAAAAATGTATTAATAAAAAATATAAAGGGATTAAATTGTCTATAACAAAATTAGTTACCAAAAAACACATAACTCTACCTGTAATGCAGTTTTAAAAGTTCCTAACGCACTTTTTGAACCTAACCTTTACCATCTTTAAGAGCTTTTTTTTTTCACCAAACACTTTGCACCGCAATTTTTAAAAATAAAAAGTGCTTTTCAGTAATAGAAAAGCACTCCCAAACACCCACTTAGTAGCTTTATATGGATGATCCCATGCGAGATTATTGTACGCCGTCAACCGATAGAGATAGATCATACACTGTTAGAGGAAGTATAGAGCAGGGGTGGCAATTCATGTTTGTGGGTCGTGTTTGTATCGTGTCAATGTCTGGTTATTATACTAAATAGGTAAATTTAAACCTAACCCATTTAATAATTGTGTCAATAATCCTCAACACTAACTATTTAAACTGGTAAATGTGTTAACCCGTTTAATAATCTGTTTATCAAAACGAGACATTTAATAATTAGTCAAATACTAAATAATAAAAAAAAATTGTCATAATTAACCCAAATATTCAAAATAAAAAGAAAAATTATAAGGTATAGATAAGGTTTATGTTGAAATGAGTTAACTATCCATAGTAATTGGGTTTAAATAGGTAACATATTATGTAACTCATATTCGCTATTATAACATGTTAATTTAAACGGGTTACATAGGTTGAACTCCTCAACCTTAATCCGACATGATTAAGTAAACGGGTTAATCGTATTGACCCTTTTATGACCCAAATCCGTTTATATCAAACCCAAACCCTTTTAATTCATAACGTGTCGTGTCGTAATTTGCCACCCTTAGCATAAAAAGAGAGAACACAGAAGGTTCGAGAAATATAAACATATAGAAAAAATCTTTAAAAGTAAAAAAATAATGTGTTAATGTGCACATAACAATCTATATTATGAAATTTTTAGCATGCACAACCTATTGGGTATTTTTGAAAAAGTAAAAGGGCAAAATGAGCATTTTAGCATAATTTTATGTTAGATATTTGCAAAAAGTGATTCAAGGGGAATGTACATATTAAGGTATCGGTTGATAACTCAATTCAAAGTTTAATTCTGAATAAATTAAGTGTGTGTGATAACATAATTTGAATAACACAAAAAACACTAAGTGCCATTTAAAATGGGTGTAAAATTTTAAGTGACAGGGATATGATCATTTATCACCGGACGTTGAATGTTGATTTTTTTAAAAAATATTAAATTTGTAATTACCACTTAAAATCTTCATCAAACACCATCTAAAGGGTGCTGCAAGCACAAATTTTAAAACGGGGGTGGAATTGTTATGCGGAGTATACACTAGGCATGTTTTCGACACTTGACCTAATTAAAAAATAAATATATTTTTAAATCTTTTTGAATTTGTAGTGTTGTGTAGTTTGATAACTCAATTCATCTCTTGATTATGAATAAATTAAGTACTTATTCAATTAAGTGCGTTTGATAACGCAATTTGAATATCACTGAAAACGAAAAATGCACTTAAAATAGAGTACAATTTTAAGTAACAAAAACATCACTTATAATTGAATGCCTAACATTGAAATTCAAAAAATTATTTATTTTTTAATTACCATATAAAAACTTTAATACTTTTTTTTTTTTAATTAAAAACTTTAATACTTAAAATTTAGTTCTTAAAATTAGTTTTTAATTTTATCAAACAGTGATATTTTATTTGCATTATCGTTACATTTAATTGGTAAGCACTTAAATCGTTCAAAATTTAACATTGAATAATTTTTTTTTTTTTTGTTTTTACATTGGATGAATCAGTAAAATAGGAGGAGCAAGTAAATGAAAAATTCGAAGCCGAAAATAAATAAATAAAATAAAAAATTTGAAGCCGTTATTCTACAATTAAGTTGCTCATGTGGGATTGTGGGGGTCATTTTCTTGGTCGTTGTTGGGCTTTATTGCCTCAGTTTTGCTTGTTTGCCACCCCTGTGTTTGTTCTATGGACTTTCCTATTACTCGGCCCATCCCACTTGTTGTGGCCCTCTGTACATTTTGAAATGTAAAAAACAATAATTTTAGAATTCTTTTATTCAACTATTGAAATGATTAAAATTCAATTTAGTCATGCATTGAAGGTACTTTGTTTGTTTTAACATCTAATTTGGATTTCAAATCACATAAAAAAAAATGTGTTAAAACTGATTTTGGGCAAGTTCAACAAGTGGAATAAAAAAAGTTGCAATAAAAAGTTTCACTAGTGTAACTTTATTCTAAAAAAAAATAATAATAAAAAAATTAATGATTGCATAGAAGGATGAGCAAAATTGTTAATTATGCCAAATTCTATAAATAAAAAATTGCACATTTGTTCCATCTAGTATCCATCCCCCAAAATATTGGTGTAAGTATATTTTTTTTAATTATACTAAACTTTGGGCGAAATATGTAATTTTATAATTTCTGCCAAACTCTTGTCAAACTTTTGAATTGATTTTTGACTTACATGTCTTCAAATTTGACACACCCAATCCAAAGCCTAACCGATTAATAGCATCCTATCAATACATGGATCTTACTCAATACAAATAGGTAATCACGTAAAATTTGTTTGTAATTAAGATGAGTAATTATTTGGAGTTTGTTTAAGAATTGCTTTTAAAAAATATATATATTATTTTTTAAATTTATTTTAGACACCTCATTTAAATTATATAAAATAAGAACAAGAGAGAATTTCAAAGTAAAAATACCTTAAGAAAGACTTCCATATTACTTGCCAAGCACAACCACTAACACTGCTCTCGGCACGAATTAACTTTGGGTTAGATTGTAATTTAGCATGATTATAAGAACGAGACACCTGTAAAGAAAGACGGTGTGACTTAAGCCTGCTGCCCATATTTGACTAGTGTGCGCACCACGCATTCATGCACGATTATTAAAATGGCAGTCAACGTGGCCAACGGTTCTAAAAATGCTCGCTTGTGCCCCAAGCCAATGCTCTCCATGGCATCGCCTATAAATGCTCACACGCGACCTAACTCTATCTACGTCCTCGGTTTCTCTCTCGCGGAGAAACAAAATCGGGCCAGCACTAGAGAGAGAGAAAGTAGAGAGAGAACTTAGATTTATTAGACACAGGGAGAGGGAATAAACATATATAAAGAAGAAAGAGAGAGTAATCACATCAGAGAGAGAGAGAAAGGGGAGACCTCAAAGCTACAGGACTTTTGAGAGAGGAATCAACTGCTATTTTATTATCTTTCTCAACACAATCTAGCTTTATCATTTGCGGACTCATCTTCTTCGTCAGGTATTTCTTGTTTTCTTTTGGTCTTTAATCATTATACAAATATTATTTATGTAGGGCTGTAATTTAACTGCAGTGGAAATGACAGTTCCGTACACACATATATATACAGAAATTGATTGAATCTTAATCGAAATTAGGGTTTGAGTTTCATTTTGTAGTACGGAGACAGAAATTGATTGAATCGTATATCAAATTTAGGGTTTGAGTTTAGTAGTATGGAGAAAGGGGGTTTTTATTCTCCTTTCTTTAAGTTGTAATGATCTGATTGATTTGCTCAACCGCCTCTCTCATGGAGTTCTATACCTGTTTAATTTTCTTCACAGATACAATCAATCCAAGCCAGGGTTCCATTTTTATTTATCCTGTTATTGTCAGCGTTTGGATTGAATCTGAATCGGTGAACTGTCGTTGGATAGGGATTTCGTGTGTTCTACATCTCATCTTGAAAATATGAGCTTTCAAGTTCGAAACGATCGAAAGGATAATAGGCCAAGATTTCCGGTCCAAAGTGGTCGCCAAGAGTGGGTACCTAGAGGAGCCCCCACCACTGCCACTGCCACTGCCACTGCCACCGCCACCGCCACTACCACGGTTGTGACCTCGCATTCCAGTTTCAATTCCAATCCGAATAGAAATGTTAGGGACTCGAGTCACGGCACTGCAACATTGGGTGGCAGTCGGCATAGGGTGAATATGGGGGGTCCGAGAGGTCACACAGTTGGGCCTTCGAATCATAGGAGCCAGAAGGAGAAGGAGAAGGATAATAAGGAGGAAAAGGGGTTGAGGGATAGCGATTTGCCTCAACTCGTGCAAGAAATTCAGGAGAAGCTTATGAAGGGAACTGTCGAATGCATGATTTGTTATGACATGGTACGGAGATCCGCACCAGTTTGGTCCTGCTCGAGCTGCTTCTCGATTTTTCATTTGAATTGTATCAAGAAATGGGCTCGGGCACCTACTTCTACTGATTTGCCAACAGAGAAGAATCAGGGTTTTAATTGGAGGTGTCCTGGATGTCAATCCATACAGCTTATGGCATCAAAGGACATTCGGTATGTTTGCTTCTGTGGGAAGAGGCCAGATCCGCCTTCGGATTTATATTTGACGCCACATTCTTGTGGAGAATCTTGTGGGAAGCCACTTGAGAAGGAAGTTCCTGGTGCTGGTGCGAGTAAAGAGGATCTTTGTCCTCATGTTTGCGTCTTGCAATGCCACCCTGGTCCATGCCCTCCTTGTAAGGCTTTTGCTCCACCTCGGTTATGCCCATGTGGGAAGAAAATAATCAACACCAGGTGCTTCGATCGGAAATCTGTTCTTACCTGTGGGCAGCTTTGCGATAAACTTCTTGAGTGTTGGCGTCACCGGTGCGAGCGAGTTTGCCATTTGGGTTCATGCGATACTTGTCAGGTTCTGGTCAATGCCTCTTGCTTCTGCAAAAAGAAGATTGAGGTTCTTCTTTGTGGAGATATGGCAGTGAAGGGAGATATTAAAGTAGAAAATGGTGTATTCTCATGCAGTTCACCTTGCGGAAAGAAGCTTAGCTGTGGAAACCATGTATGTGAAGATATTTGCCATCCAGGTCCGTGTGGGGAGTGTGACATGTTGCCAGGCAGGATCAAGACATGCCATTGTGGTAAGACAAGCCTACAGAAGGAACGACTGAGTTGTTTGGATCCAATCCCAACGTGTTCGAATATTTGTGGCAAAAGACTTCCTTGTGGGATACATCAGTGTATGGAAGTGTGCCATGCCGGAGAATGTGTGCCTTGTCCGGTGCTTGTCACCCAAAAATGCCGTTGTGGATCAACTTCTCGAACTGTGGAATGCTACAGAACAATGATGGTGGAGGATTTATTTACCTGTGATAAACCTTGTGGGCGGAAAAAGAATTGCGGGAGGCATCGGTGCAGTGAGCGGTGCTGTCCTCTTTCTAATTCTAAGAATTCCCTATCGGGTGATTGGGACCCGCACTTGTGCTCAATGACCTGTGGGAAGAAGCTAAGGTGCGGGCAGCATTCTTGCGAATCATTCTGTCACAGTGGCCATTGCCCTCCTTGCCTTGAAACAATCTTCACTGATTTGACCTGTGCTTGTGGGAGAACTTCAATCCCACCCCCATTGCCTTGCGGTACGCCTCCCCCTTCATGTCAGTTCCCATGCTCAGTCCCTCAGCCTTGTGGCCATTCATCTTCTCACAGCTGCCACTTTGGAGATTGCTCTCCTTGTTCAGTTCCTATTGCAAAAGAGTGTATTGGTGGACATGTGGTACTCAGGAACATACCTTGTGGGTCAAGGGACATCAGATGTAACAAGCTATGTGGCAAGACCAGGCAATGTGGCATGCATGCATGTGCAAGAACTTGTCATCCTCTGCCTTGTGATTCTTCTGATGGACCTAGTTCTGGATTGAAGGCTTCTTGTGGGCAGACATGTGGTGCTCCCAGGAGAGACTGTAGGCACACATGTACTGCTCCTTGTCACCCTTCTGCTCCATGTCCCGACGTAAGATGTGAGTCCCTCGTCACAATCTCTTGTTCATGTGGCCGAATTACAGCAACTGTTCCTTGTGATGCTGGGGGAAGCAGTAGTGGGTTTAATGTTGATACTGTTTCTGAAGCTTCCATATTTCAAAAGTTGCCAGTACCACTTCAACCTGTCGATGCAAATGGTAAGAAGATCCCACTTGGACAGAGGAAGCTCATGTGCGATGATGAATGTACAAAGGTAGAACGCAAGCGTGTTCTTGCAGATGCCTTTGGTATCACTCCCCCAAACTTGGATGCACTTCATTTTGGTGAGAATTCTACTGTTTCTGAGTTGCTTGGGGACTTGTTTAGGCGTGATCCTAAGTGGGTCTTGTCTGTGGAAGAGAGATGCAAGTTCTTGGTCCTTGGCAGGGGCAGAGGTGGGACCAGTGCTCTTAAGGTTCATGTTTTTTGTCCGATGTTGAAGGAGAAGAGAGATGCAGTGAGGCTCATAGCAGAGAGGTGGAAGCTTTCGATCAGTGCTGCTGGCTGGGAGCCAAAGCGTTTTATTGTGGTTCATGTTACACCCAAGTCTAAAGTTCCAGCTCGCATGCTTGGTGCCAAAGTTACCACCCCTGCAAATATGTTACAACCTCCAGTATTTGATCCTTTAGTAGATATGGATCCAAGGCTTGTTGTTGCCTTGTTTGATTTGCCAAGAGATGCAGACATAAGTGCATTGGTCCTGAGGTTTGGCGGGGAATGTGAACTAGTCTGGTTAAATGACAAGAACGCGTTGGCTGTTTTTAGTGATCCTGCTCGAGCTGCAACTGCTATGAGGAGATTAGATCAAGGATCTGTCTATCATGGGGCTGTTGTAGTTCTTCCAAATGGCGGTGCATCAGTGGCGTCTTCGGCTGGTAATGCTTGGGGAAGTGCAGGAGTTGCCAAAGATGGAGGGGCACTTGCAGCTCTCAAGGGGAATCCATGGAAGAAGGCTGTTGTACAGGAGTCTGATTGGAATAAGAGTTCCTGGGGTGGTGAGGAGTGGTCTGTTGGTTCTGCTGATCTGGAGGTGTCTGCATGGAAAAAAAAGGAAACCCCAATTGCCACTTCATCAAACCGGTGGAGTGTTCTGGATTCAGAGTCAACCATGGGTTCATCTGCAGTATCTGTCAGAATTGAGGATCATGGAAAACAGGTGGGAAATAATCAGGGTCCAGGTTCGGAACCGAAAGCAAGTGGTTCGAATTTGGCAGAACAGCATGAAGGGGAGATTGATATGTCTGATGTAGTGGATGACTGGGAGAAGGCGTATGATTAGGAGTGGAATTACAGCAAAAGTTTTTCTTTAGCTATCAAAGCATCTAAACATGAGATGAGTGTTATTCCTGGATTATCTTTTCTTTTTATTTCATTTGGGGATTGTATGTTAATATTTTTGGGGGTTCCTTCTCATACAACCCGTATGGTCTTGTTTTTCGGGGTATCACTATTAGAATATGGCAAGAGAATTTAGCTCTGGCCAGTGTAAAAAGTTTATAATGTGAACGGATTTCTCTTGATATCTGAGAAAGTAGCCATGTTTATAAGGTTGACGCTGTCATGGTTCAGTATAATGGGTCTCCTGCTTGCTTTGAGGAGATTTTACTCGGTTACCTCATGGTTAAACCATGTGGCTTTGCATCAACCATTTTTCCATCTGGTTGGTTATCTAGTTGCTTTCAACAAGGAAACACTTGCCTTCCTTCTTTTTTTTTTTTTCTTTTTTTTTTTTTTTATTTAAGTTAAAGCTAACACACACCCATTATCCACAATATGTCCCTAGTTGGACTCAAACCGTCAACCTCCCCTTTTGACAATTTTTTGATTTGGCTCCATGCAGTTTATTTGTTTTAGTTTCGACCAGGTTCTCTGTAATTGCATTACTATTATTTTTTATTCAGCAAATGTGGCATTGGTGGTCCTTTTCTTTTTAAAAAAAGTGAGAGAGAGAGAAAAAAGAGAAAGAAACATCTTTAACAATTTAAACCATAAGCAGTTTGAATAAATGATTTGTAGCACTACAATATGAAGCACATATATTTGTATCGTGTCAATATTGGATACCGATACTTCTCAACTACTTGCAGATACGCGTCATATGCTTCCTTAGTGCATCAGTAATTTAAGTATATATATATATATATATATATATATTATTTCAAACACATATGTGACATATCTGATACTTCTATGATTTTTTGGGACACGTCTTGAACAATCAAATGTAACATTTGTAGTATAGTATCATAGTATAATTGTTAGGAACAATGTAATTAAAAGCTTCAAATATTTGGACTTTTTTTTATAAGGAGAATATATCATGTCTAACATAGTCCAAAGTTCAAGTTTGAAGTTGAAGTCAAATCAACATAATTCTTAGTTGTTGTTATTTATTTATTTTTTTTAATTTATTTTTTTAAACATCATAAGATATATTGTAGATTTGATGGATTCATAAAAATACACGTTTGTCATATTTTTAATATTATAAAATAGAAATACGTGTTTTACTTATTTATTATATAAGGGAATGTTGACACTAATACACATGAATAGCATGATAAATAATTATTATTTTAAATTTATTCATGGATGCATGTGCGCATATACATATGTGTTGTTGTGTACTTCTTGTATTTGGATTCAGTCTTTTTTATTTTATTTTATAATTTGTCATTTTGTTGTGTCTGTATCATGTTGTATTTGAGGGATGAGACTTCTTAGACTTTAATACGTGTAACACACTAAGCCGTCATATTAAACCTATAATGGATGGAATATGATTCAAACACTAGATTAACGACATTTAACAAATATTCAAATTTCAACTAAAATTGAGATGCTGAATTTAAATATTAACTAATCAAGCATGTAGAAGTCAGTGGAGTGTGGAAAATAAAAAGCACACCACACAAGAACACCAATTTTTGCCTAAAAGATACCATCGGGGAAAAACCAGGACACCTGGTCCAGGCAGTTCAAATTTAGTATTCCTAGGTATCAGACCCTGACGCAGCGGATCAATGAAAGTAAGCAAAATAATTAAGAATAACAACATATTCTTTAAACACTCGAATCCACAAGAAGAGATTGAGAAAAACTTTAATAAAAGAGATAATTAATCCATAAACTATTACAATAACATGTATTTATAAGCCTAAGCAAATCCTAAATCATATAGGAAATTAAATCAATGGAAACTTTCCTAAAACAAACACAAAACTAGCAATTTGATCCTAAACCCTAGAACCATTTTAATTACCTCAAATCCAAACTCATTCTAATTGTTCCTCTTCATGCCACTCACCACTAATACCACTCACCATCTGAATTCTTTGATAATGAATGAAAGAAATAAAACGTTCTAGCAATTTGATTGCTAGATGAAAGAAATAAAAAGTTGTAGCAATTTGATTGCAAGAGTGCACTATAGATGCTCTAATTAGGTTCCTAAATGCTAGGATTCGCTTGGTGCACATTTATGAAAAATATGGTCTTTGAGGCTAAAAATGATTAGGGTTGAAGTGGTTAATATCTTTTCGAAAACCTTCTTTCCTCATTGTTCGATCGATCCAACTTGGGTTCGACTAATCAAACCAAGTCCAGTGGGGCTGACAATCGGCAGGAGATGAGCAAAGTTTTTGGCCTGAGGAGAGGCTGATCCGTAACATCAACTGCAGAAGAATGAGGTTTGAGTTGATGAACAGGAGAAGGCATCAGTACATCTCCATCACCATTCTTCCCCGGGGCTGATTAATTAGGTTAAGGAAAAATGAGGTGACTCCATTAGAGGGAACATTCATGGATATTGGAATCGCCTTCTCCTTTTTGGTTGGTTTAAGGGGCGAGAGGGCGCATGGAACTACTATTATCATTCTCATTATTCTCATTTCACTTTCTACTAAAAAGAGGAACACGGAAAAAAGGTTGCTTAGAAACAAATTATGCAAAGAGGAGATTCATGACTCCACATAAACGCAACACATTAACCCCAGAGTTATGGATGATTGAGACAGCTTTAAGATCTTGTTCGTAGTTTCCGTTTAGTAACTTGTACTCAGTTCTTTCTTAAAAGGGGCATGAACAGCCTTAAAGTACTGTTCCATGTCCCAGAGGTCTTCGAGCCATTTTGAATATCGGCTGTGGTTCTGGGACTCAAATGCGTCTGGAGTCCCCACAGAGCAACACAATATCCAAAGAGAGAGACTCAGTGCCTTGATTACTGAAAAGGACGAACCGCCGGTTGTAGAAACCACTTCAAGGGTCAATCCACTTCAATTCTTGTTTTCCATGAGAATTCCAAACCCATAAAAAGGTGCAAGTCATCCAACGGCACCACCATCAAGTAAAACTTTCTAGACCACTCTCCAATCTGTAATGAAACTATTTTAGCTCCTCTAACGATAGGTTTTCGCCTCATACTTCACCGCCTTAATTTTGTTGTTCCCCTTATCAACCCATAAGCCTAGCTGCAATGCAATCTAATCAGAAAGGAAGTTCTGAGTAGCACAAGTGTCAACCATTTCCCTCACAAACTGTCCAATGAATTTTACAATAACAAACATAAGCCCGGATCTGATCGACTCTCATGTCTAATGGAATTCAAGAGTTGAAGCGGATTAACCCTTAGAAGTTTGTGTTTTGTTTGAGGGGTTATAAATCCGAAGAGCCTAAAGTTGGTTTATGCGCTTTCCTCAAAGGGGGCAGTTACCTACCTAGCCACTCTTATAGAGAACAAAAATGTTGGGTGAAGCGGCAAGCCTATCAGAGAACAAAGTGCTAGTTATGGGGTGCTGGTTGCTCACGCTTCTGTTTTTCAGCTGCTTGCTTCTTGTATTACGCTAGCGTACATTTTCCGAACAATATAGAAAAACAACTTTTATGCATTCAAAATTCCTTTTTAGGATTTTTTTTTATGAACCCTGGACATGAACAATGCTAAGAACCTTGAATATACCAGCGGCTGTAGCCAAGTGGTACTTCCTCGCCTTCCAAGGGGAAAGGTTGAGGGTTCAAGTCCCCATAGGGGCATGTGGGTGGGTGTGTTTCTTGCCAGGATAAAAAAAAAAAAAAAAGAAAAAGAAAAAGAAAAAGCATGAATATGAACCCTAATTTGGTGAGTTCACATTTGAGAATTGAATTCTATCTTTGTCGAATCTTTAGAATCCGAAAACTAACCTTGGATTGAGGTAGCTCATCAACTAACAAACTTTTAAAATATAAACAAACTGAAATCAACATACAGACTCAGGTCAAGTCCTATTGACTTAACAGTATCCGAATTCCATATCTATGTCCGTGCCTTTATAGGCACTACAACTTCAAGGAATACCAATCTAAATATCTTTTGTCCTCTGTATGCTGAGGAAACCAGGGGTAAGCAAATAGATGGAATACGCAATCATATGCTTATTGTTTGGACTTCTAAAAATTGATAATTCATTTAGTTGTGCAGGTGTTTGTTTCTAGAGGTCCAAGTAATAAAAAGGCAAGATATAAATTTATTAACTTCTTTAGCTATATTTTCTCATTTATCGAACTGAGCATTATAATTTTTTTTTTTTCTCAATTTATTTTGACTTAGATCTTTTGTTTTATGAACTGGGGCTGGGAGTGAAGCTTCAGCATCAATCCTCAAGGTCAGGGACAGAGCCAGGATTTCATATGGGGCAGGGGGGCACAATGTACTTGGGTAGTACTCTAATGGTTAAAAAAAATCTCAGGGGGGCACTTTCAGTAATTTTTAAGGGGCACTTTGAAATTTTAAAGAAATATACATATAAAAAATAAAAAAAACAAAATTTCATGGGGGGCACGTACCCCCTGGTCCTTAGCTAGTTAGCTCCATCAGTCCATGCTCAAGGTTAATTCCTCATTCTCTGCAGCTCCAGGTGCATTGGTTGGCGGAATTCCTTCCTAGATTACCTAAGATCAGCTGTTATATCAACACAATCCCGACTGTCATGGGGATCAATCTCAATACCTTATCTACATAGCCTTGTGTTGAGAAGTTAGCATTTCTCATTAAGTAGTATTACTACTTTGCACTGATTTATTAAAATCAGAAACTTCTATTACTAAAATTTAATATCAAATCTCTAGTGATGGGGTCTATTCATGTAGAACACCCCATCCTGTTGCACTTGGAAAAGTATGAGTATTGAGCAAACGATGAACTCGAGATTTAAGGATAAGGACTACCTGGTATTGGAGGTATTGACGGGCTGTGTGTGTTGGAGGTTGGGGGGTTGATGCTGCTGAATTTATTCTTCTTTGACCATATACAGTTCAGGTTGAGACAGATTATACTCTGTTCTCTTCCCACTAATTTATATGGTACTCTTTTATCGTATTCGTGTTCAAGATCTCAGATTCATTTGGGTCTTGCATTGTCTTTTGCATGGTGTATAGATTTTTCCCTACGAATCCTTACAAATATATGCCAACAAGCATTCATGGTATTTGTTGCCGTTAGCTCTCTCTCCCTTTTTCTCACTTTCATACTCTCTCTCTCTCTCTCACACACACACACACACACACACATGTACTATTTCTCTCTGCTTCAATTGTTCTAGATCTTTGACTCTGGATGAGTGGAGAAGTCTGGCTTCTATTTCAGGTTGTGATATATTTGGTCCTGGGCGCTTTAATGGTTTTTTGTTGTGCGGATCATTGAGGCATTGCTCTATTGTTGGTTATGTACTTTAGTAAATTTTGTTACCATTACTTTGGTGATTTTTTGTGCATTGTCTTGAGCTAGGTGCCTGATGCAATTTGAGTTGAAGTATTATGTCATTTTCTTCTTTATTCAGTGGTTGAGACTAAAGGTTCTTGGCAAATTACGAAAAACATGAGAGACCTCTCTACCATTTATTATGAAAAACCTAAGTTCTACAAGTTATCCATTAAGTACGTATGATACCAATTAACGCAAGTTCAATTTCTACCTTCGATATTGATCTTACTTTTAATAGATGCCCGCTTTCTTTATTCCCTATTAGTTAATTTTAATTGTTTTCTCAAATCAGTATGCAGATTCAGTTGAATTTTGGAGTACTCCCTCTCTCCATCTCTCTCTCTGTAACATATTTTTTTTTAAGAAGCTCTTGACAGGCTTAATTCAAGCTCGAGTTCAGTACCAATTAAAAATCCAAAGTTTTTGCAGTAGGAGCCACCATCAGTGTCACTGGTTCTTGGTTTGCCTGGTAACTATGTAGACCCATCATTATATGCTTTGTGTATTGATTATTGTGAAATTAGGTGACTCAAGAAGTTACCCAGAATTCTGCTAGGCCCAGCTGCACTTTAGGTGGAAAGTGCCTCAATTTTTGAGACCATGCCCTAGAAATGTAGGTTGGGGCTCTTTTGAATGTTCTAGATAAGTGCTCAACTGGCAAACAACTGTTATTGATCCCTTGAGTTGTTAATCTAGTACTAAACTTGTGACTTTGCGTTGATCTAATTGGCTCAGTTTTTGTTATCTTTTATCTAATTGGTTCAGTTTTTACTAAATTTTGGCCAATTGGTTCAGAGTTTAGTAAGTTTTCTGTTCAGTTCTTAGTTTAACCTACTGCTTCCTATTGTCTATTGTAGCTTTTTATATTTCAATCCACTGCTGGTGGAGTTCGTACAGCTAAGCTGGATCTCTTTCTTGGGCTGAGAGGATGATTATGTGCGTGGGTTGAGGCCTATCCAATAACCATAGAGATACTTGTGGTTTAGTTGTTCCTTCAGCTGCTTGTGTGTTTTAATGCTCTGTTTCCTCTTTTTCTTCTCTGGTTTGAACCTGGTTCAGGTTGATATCCTGTTGTCCTTTGGGGGAGGGACCAATACTGGGCTAATTAATAGTTGACGTGCAAGTAAATGTATTAGCTTTATTCAACTTTTTACTTGTATGTCAGTTTTGTGATTGGGCTGGAGCAATGGTCATGGGACGATGTAATAAATTTTTTCGTCTTTCGGCTGCCTAGTTAGGAGCTGGACGTGGTAATGGTGATATGCAAGTAAAGATAATGGTGATATATGTATGTTTTACTTGTATGTATTGTCAGTGGATTGCAATTGGCAGGACTTTGTCTGGGCATGGTGATTTAAAGCTTTGACGTTGCAAGTGATTAGGAATTATATGACTCAAGAACCTAATAAGGTATTGCATTGGGCAGGGCTTAACTAAAATTATTGTATCTTTGATATATTTATATGATCGACTTAAATATGTAAGGTCTTATTTGGGCATTTGATATGTTTGTAATTTTGCATATTATTTATAATATAAAAATAAATCTATAGTAAAAATATATATATATTCAGCACAGTTGCCAAATAACATTATTTTGCGCTATAGAACATGTTTTTTCATCTTTTCGGATACAAAAGTGCAACTACATCAAACTATTCCAATGTTTTTTTGTTTTGTCCGAGGCTTGGTGTGACACTGCGCTACACTCTACTCATTCCTCGTTCAATTATCTTTGTGATATTCAAAATTTTATTTTAAAGATATATATATATATATTTTTTGATAATAATTAGTTGGGTTAGTTTGTGAAGTCTTTTGAGTGATCAAACTTTGTATTCATATTTTAAAAATAAAATAAAATATATAAAAATAAATTAATAATAATAATAGAACACTCTCCTCATTCAATTAGCTTTGTGATATTTCAAATTTTATTTTTGTTTTGTCCAAAAGAAAAAAAAACAAAATGTATTTTTGATAATATTAGTGAGGTGACGAAGTCTTTTGAGTGATCAAATTTTGTATTCATACTTCAAAAATAAAATAAATAATACGGGAAATAATAATAATAATATAATAATAATACGGGTAATAATAATAATAATAATAATATAAGGCCACAAAAATGAAACGTTGACGAAACTATATGGGCTTTTATGCACCACAATTACAAGACGTAGTTTTTTAACCTCTTACAAGTTTTTTTCTTTTATTTTTATTAATTTTTCTTTTCGGTTTTTCAAGAAACGGACAATGATGAACCGACCTTTCTAAAAAAAAAAAATCAGGGCCAAGTCAAGGCCTCCCAAGCCACAAAACCGTTAATCGTCCATTAGATAGATACTCCCGACGGACGGGGTTTGTTTTCTTGACGCCGATTATTATTAGTATCACCTCCTTGCCTGTAAACCCTAAACCTACACTGTTAGGGGAGGCTTTAGTACTGTGTACACAACTATACATACATATATATAGATAATTAGATATATAGGTGTTGGAGGTTGGAACCCTATCCCAAGCCATGCATACCTCATCGGTGATGTTTGGCGCAAAGCCTTTGTTGACTCCTTTGATTCCAGTGAAATCTCTCCTCTACAATCCCACCACCATTAACGATTCCTCCTCAACCAACGCCGGTTCGTTAAGACCTCCATCTACTGTTTCTCTCAAATGGGCTCACAATAAAACTATTACTTTGCGTCCGCAGAGACGCAGGCGGTGCCGTGCTCATTTTGTTACCCCCAAGGTATTCCTTTTCTCTTTTTCTTTCATTAATTATGGCTATTTTTATTTTAATAGATATATTGTGTATACTAGTACAACCAATATGTTGTATCAATATATTTTTCATTTAAATATTGATGGTCATTGGTAGCAAATCATGGAAATTTGGAATTAAATGTTGGAGAGTGCCAATAGAGAGATAATCATGCATAATTTTGACTTTGTATATCAAAATTATAATGTAGGAACATTCGTGTGGTAGCAAGGAAGTAGAGAAGAATTAGGAATCTCACTTAGAATTTCCTAAGGAGTCATTTCTAAGGTTAAATATTTATAGGCTTTGGGGTTCTACTACTACTGGGAGTAAAGAAATCCAAAATAGATAACTTACAAACTGTCTACCCAGAACACTCGTTGGGACTTACTAAAGACAATTTGGGAAGATCCAATAACGTAAATTGGACCCATGGACTGTTACTATATCCCATCTTAGGTAATTCGTGTAGGTCATCAAATATGCTCGAACCGGGACGGAGCTACATACAATTGCCCCCCTGTTTTTTTTTTTTTAGTAATATACCCTTATAATTTATTCATTTTCAGTAATATACCCATAAAATATTACTTTTCCCCCCCTAAAATTCCTAAAAAAATGCATTACTGCCCCCTAAAATTCTTTCCCCCCCCCTTCTTATATCCTGGCTCCGTCCCTGTCGATAACTCAACAAAGACTTTTTTTTCAACTACTTGGGGGTCACTTACATGAACCCAATTTTTTCATTTCGCTCTATCAAAATAAGCTCAACTTCTAAAAGATAAAAAAAGTGAGTATATTTTAAACTATTGCAGCAGTGTAGTCACTTAAAGACTATAACTAACATAAACTAAGACTCAATTTACCCCTAGACTTTATTACACGAGGGCTCAAGGGCACTCGATGTGAAAATCTCAGCGTGCCTGTCTTCTTCTCATACTTCACATCACAAATCTATAACTGGGTACCTTTTTGATTGATATTTCAGCTACTGCAAGAGTAATGAAGCAACCAAGAGTGTGTTCATTTTTAATTCTAATTCTCTTTTATTTTTTATTTTTTTTTTCAATTTATGTTCAAAGGAGGATATTTCATCCATTACACGAGTGTGTTCATTTCTAATTCTCTCTGTTCTTTTCTTGCCACACATCCATTGTAACATTCTCATTTTTGCATACTCTATACATATGTTTTGCCCAACATTTTGTGCTTTACCTGGTCTAATAGTTATTTTATAGAATTTCCTTTTCAATCTTAATGGGATATGCAAATCACACAATATACCAGATGCACTCCTGCATTTCCATTCCACAGTGTGGCTTAATTCTATGATTAACATTAACCTTCTCTCCAATCCTCCAAGTTGGTACTTACTGCCTCTCTGGTTTTCATCAATTAAGACAATATCATCAGCAAATAACATACACCGTGGAATCTCATCCTGAATGTGTCTTGTCACTTTGCCCATAACTAAGTAAAAAAGATATGAGCTTAATGCTGACCCATGATATAAACCTACAATAAGGAAATTCACTTGTTTCACCCACATTCGTTATGGCTTTAGTTACACGTTTATCATATATGTGTTTTTATTGTGTCAATTTTTCTTTTTGTGACTTCTTTGTTTTTCAGAAATTCACGTGCTTCACTTCAGTCTCTCGTCTTAGTCGTTATTTAATTCACATTATGATGATATATAAATGTCAAAAAACACAAGCTAGGAGAATGATGAGATAAAAGAAGATAAAGATTGCTGTAGTTGAATGGAAACTGCGAAGTCTACTGATTCATCTATGTAATCTATAAATAAAAACAATTCAACTCAGCAAAGAATTTTTCCAACTATTTAGAGTTGGTTACATGAATCTTGTTTCGTCATTTTTCTCTATCCAAGGCCATCCTTTGTCAAGCCACATGCTGTCACATTTTTTTGGCCACCTCAACCATGATTAATCTATATTAATAAGAAGATAAAGAAGAAAAATTTACTGAAGAGCACTCTATTGAAGAAAAAAAGAAAAAAGAAAAAAGAAAAAAAGAAAGAAGCTGAAGAAGACCCCAACTTAAATTTTCCTTTAAGGGATCACAGACTCAGTTAATCAGCAATGGGTTAACCAAGTTATCAATAGAAAGAATCCATAACAAATCGAGGGGGAAAAAATGGAAGTGGAACATGTCACAGAGTCCATACAACAATTACAAGTTGCTGTTTAAGCATTGAGGACAGACAATTTGTTGCTTTTGTCAAGAAATGTTCGCCTATATAGAATTTTGTCCCCTTTGTCCCTTTATTTATTTCTTTTGGCTTCTCGCTTCATACCAATATGTTGGTGGATTCTGATTAGGTCTTTATTTGTGGTGCCTGGAAGAACAATTTAGGTCTTGGAGTATTCTTATCTTAACTCCTGCTTCCTGTTGCTCTCCTTTTTCATGTTTTTCTTCTTTTAGATAGATGCACAATGTAAATGTATGGACATTTTTCTTTTGAAATCAATTACTAAAACTTTGTTGTTATATTTTGTTGTATGATCCTGTATTGCACTTGTTTCTTCCATTGGGAATCATATTGAAACATGCTTAATTTAATAATTCATGTCTTTGTGAAAAAAAAAATGTTACCCACTCCAAAAGAAAATATTAGAACAGTAAACCTTTGGAAATTTCTTTCACTGTAAGCTTCACATTCTATGTTATTACTCATCTATAAAATTGTTGAGTATTGATATTGAACTAGGGAAGCCAATTGAAAAGATATCCTGAGAATTCACACGTAATAGTAAAAATTTCATTTCTATTATATGTTCATTAAAAGCACTTACACCAGTCACGTAGTATGAGTTCCAATGTTAGTGGGTCCCAATGGAGATAATTTTTCTTTTTGGTGTAACAGAGAACAAAGAGCTGGTTGTGTTGTTTTTATCAATGTGGGATTGTACTTATATTTATGATGTCCACTGCATCAGTTTTTTAAATTGTATTTGTTTCCATTTTTTTGTAAAGGTATTTGTTTTTTTTTTTTTTTTCCTGCCTCCTTTTTTCTTTGAAAGGTGGTCACATTAAGGGGGAAATGGAGGGTGAAGGTAGAGTAGCAAAAAGTGCAATGTATGAAATGATATACTTCCATAAATGCAATATCAATTAAGTATAAATATATATTATTGTAAGTGACCAATGAAAGGAGCTCAATAATTACAATTAACATATCACTGAAGGTGATTATTAATGGTAATAACAAATAAAATTGTAATAAATAGCAAACAAATTCAATTATGGATATCAAGAAAGTTGTCGTAAAATATTTTTAAAAAGGAGAAACTTAGATTTCACATTTTAAAATGACAAGGCAACAAATCAAAATATTTATTATATACAAATTACAAAATTAGAAAGTTGAAGAACAGATGAAATCCAATGAAGAACTAAACATATACGGTTCTGACACATGGTTTTTTTCCCCCTGTTATGACATGGGTTTGGACTTGCAAATTTGGGTGATATTCTGTTTCTGAATCTTGAATTCAAATTACTTGTGTTTCACCAATTATTTGTATCTTAAGATTCCCTTACTTGTTTGTCTTGTGAAATTTTATCTTTGAATTGTAGAATGCTTGGAGGCAATGTACTTCCGTGTTCGATAAATCATTGAGCGGAGCAACTTTGCCAGATCAACATCAACGCTTATCTTGTTTTTGTTATCACCGCAATAGAGGGTCCAGATTCAATAGATTTACACCAGGAGTCTTTCTTGACAAATCTACTTTCCATTTGTCGAAGCACACAATTGACAATGTGTTTGTAAGTCAACTACTTCAAGTTCCTTCCATTGCATATATGAGTGGGCCACCAGTTCTTATTAATTAAATGTCACATGTATAAGTTCTTGTGAAGCTTATTTTTAAGCTTAATTAGATTCAATGTATGTCTTCTGTTAGTCTGATTCTAGTACAATTTTTTCTTTTCCCCTGAATGGATTCTAACACAAAATTGAAATTGTAACACCATTTTTTGCATTATCATCCACTTAGTGGACAATTTATGAGGTTATATTGTAATTTTGATGCTTAAAATAAAATACATTAAGTAATGTTATGTAGCCTTTAATTTACTGTCCAGTGGAACAATGAAATCTTTCTGCAAGCTGTTTTTCTGTTATGCAGGAGGCAGCGATTGCTCCTCGATTGATGATTTTTTTGTTCTCTTGGACTTTGTTGGTCCGTAGGTTTGACTTCTGCTCTTTCGTTTTTGTGTATTAGGGACGCGTTCCCCTTTTGAACGTTTTTCTAATATATTTTTTACTTACGAAAAAGAAAAAGAAATCTTTCTGCAGGCTGTATGTATTTGTATCACCCGTTTTTCACGGAGCTGCTTTAATCTTTTTCATGTGGTGAGCCTAGGAGCACTTGGTTACAAAGACTTGGTCTAGCAGCCTGGCAATATACTTATATTTATATGTACACTTGCTAAACAATACATATATATATATATATATATATATATATATATATTGATAAGTAAATATATATTAACAAAAACACTCAGAGGGGAGCGAACCCTTAACAAAACAAACAAAAGCCGTATAAAGTGCCATTACAACGATAAGTTGTCAGCAAAATCCAACAAACTGTCCACAGATGGACAATTCCTCCCATTAACCCAAGGCGAATGCAAAACATACGACTTAATGAACCACGTCAATGCCTCCTTTCCCTCGAAAGATCTCCTGTTCCGCTCTAGCCATAGCCCCCACCACACACAAAGAGGTGCAACCCTCCAAGCTTTCCTACCCTGACTCCCCATTAATCTCCCTCTCCACGCCTCTTACATATCCACCGTGTTCCTTGACACCACCCACTCAACCCCAAACACAATCATAACCATACTCCACACATCTGCTGCCACTTTGCAATGCAACAGAAGATGGTTAAGCGATTCACCCGTCATGTTACACATGCAACACCAATTGACAGTTATTCGACCTCTTCTTCTAAGATTATCAAGAGTAAGAATGCTGCCAAGTACCGCTGTCCATGTGAAAAACGCCACCTTCAATGGAGCTGACGTCCTCCATACAGCCTTCCAAAGGAACCCATTACTTAACGAACCCGTAAGACTTTGGTAAAACAACCTGACCTCAAACAGCCCTCTAGAACCCTAAATAATATATTAAGAAATGAAAGAGTATGCTAGTACACTTGTCAAGCAATCCCCTTCCCATGTGAAAATGTGCAATTGGCTTAGGAATTCGGGCAAACCAAGGATGCTAAGTTGTCACGGAGCATTAGTACAATTTATTTCTTGGTGCGAGCAAAACTTCAATACGTGTTTGTTACTCAAACATATGACAATTTCTTGGTGTGGCAACCTTTTGAAGAACATACCAGAAAAGGCCAAACACATATTGCCTAAACAATCAAGCTAGACCCTCTCTAATTGCTTAAGCTTTTGGAGTGGCTGGTTGTTGACATGTATTAGAGCAGGCAAGACCAGGGACGGACCTATGAGTAGTCGAACTTTAACAACAAGAAGATAAAAAATTCTAATCATTGCAAGGAGTGAGATGTGTGAGGTGTGGCGGTTGATTACACGTGTGAGGGTAATAGTGGGTTTATTTATTTATTTTATTTTATTTTATTTTATTTTTTTTATAATTTTAGTGGAGGCAATCTTAATATTTTATAGGTATATAATAGAATAGATAAAGAAATCAGTAGTATATAATACTGGGAAAAAAAAAATCAGTTGGGCAATTGCCCCCACTAACTAATGAATGGGTCTGTGCACGGGCAAGGCCCTAGTTCGAAACTCACCACCACCCTGGTAATTATAATTGATGCGTGTATTGGGACACTCATTATGAAAGTCTGATCATAGCTGAGTGCATGTGTTAGAGAACATAAAATAATAAAAGTTACATCTTCACTAACAACTTAATAAATTAATATAGTAGAATAGTTGGTTGTTAACACTTTCCCCAAGAAAGATTGCGGGGAAGATGATTCATGTAGCGGACCCCAAGTACGTGGGAAAAGTCTTTATTGAGTTGAGTTGAACTTGGTTATATTGGGGAACTTTTTTCTGCAGCGTTTCTGATTTATTTAATTTTCATTATTATTATAATCATGTGTAGGTGCATGCTGCTGCCTTTGTTGTCATTAGGTTTAAGCTGCTGCTGCTTAGCCTCAGTTTATGTAGTTAGTCGTTTGCTTTGCTGGCTTTTTTGTTAAGGTTCTCATTCTGTTTGGGGAGGTGTGCCTCCCTTTTTCTATACTTTGGTACTTCTTTAATAAAATTCTATCTTACCAACAAAAGAAGGGGGGGAGGGGGATTTCCAATACTTTGAATGATGTTATAAATGGAATTTGAATGATTCCAGTCATACTTTCTGCTTGTTCCAGACTGATTTGTCTATTTGACTGTAACCTATATGTTTTTAGGTGAAGCAAGTTGTTCCACATGCAGCTGTGGGTCCAGATGAACCACATGCAGCAAGTGTAGCCTGGCCTGATGGTACTTTGGAGAAGCAAGGTTTCGATTTGTTGGATCCTGAAGTAGAAGGAGCTGAGTTAGAGGGGTTTTTAAATTCTGAACTTCCATCTCACCCGAAGTTGTATAGGGGACAATTAAAAAATGGACTTCGCTACCTCATTTTACCAAATAAAGTTCCGCCAAATAGGTATATACTTCAACAGCTGGATCATTGAGTAGCATTTATTTAGTTGATTATAGATTCTCATACATGTAACTAACTATATATGTGGTAGATATGGCAGAATTAAATTTTCAATACAAACAAATGTGTCGTATGGAGTGAGTTTACAAAGTTGTTTGGTATCACTTTGCTTGAATCCTTCCCCCTCTCCTGCCATCCCAAGTCCATAATTAACCTGTGACCTATGGCAATCCCACCCAGACCCTGTAACACCCAAACCATATGCTCTTTGCCCTTTCCTATATTCTCTTTCGTTTGCTTTACCAAGGAACATTGGTGAAGTTCATAAAGGTTTTCAAGAGTAGTAGTTAAGGTAGGAAGATGGCGTAATGTCTTTGAATGGAGTAAAAGATAGTCCAATAACATAGAATGCAGGGAGAGGAGTGCCTAATCTGGCTGGACATGAATAGTCATGAAAACTTTGTCCTTGACAGTTTTAAACTGAAATAGCATCTTAAATATTCCCTGGTTCTTTTCATTTCAAATAAACCAAATGAGTATTTTTTAACTCACATCACCTGTTTTTTTATCCCAAACCAATAATGCGAGAATAACTAATGAGAGAAAAAAAAAACAGATAAAAGGTCGCCACTTTAAGAAAGGAAGTGTTACCAATGGACCACATTCCGCTGGTATATAAAGATAAGGTCCCTTGATAAAGGGAGAAATGGAGCAAAAGAGTTTGAAACAAGATGTGTATGGAAAGATGCTGTTGGACTCCATGGATCAAGTTCTCACATCAACAAATATTGAGTGCATGCTGCATTTAAGAAGATTGCCATAGAAAGATGAAAAATAGCTACTGAGAAATGGTGTTTTGCATGCTGCATTTGGGAAGCATTGCGGAAAAATAGCTCTTTTTATGTGCATGCTTTGCATACATCTTTGCTTAATGAGTATCACACACAACTTTTCTCCCCTCTTTCTGTGTCTCATATTGTAATATTTTAAAATTTAGGTTTGAAGCGCACATGGAAGTTCATGCTGGATCAATTGATGAAGAAGATGACGAGCAAGGAATTGCACATATGATTGAACATGTTGCATTCCTTGGAAGTAAGAAGCGTGAAAAACTTCTCGGGACAGGAGCGCGTTCAAATGCTTACACAGATTTCCATCATACTGTGTTTCATATCCATTCACCAACTAGTACAAAGGTTACTATATCTTCTATTTTTTGGCTTCACTACCGTTGGATAATTAATGTCTCTATCTTTGTATTGCAAATTTCCATTTTCTCATTGATTTTATATTTTTGCCATCTATGTCCTTTGATTGAATTTTATCTTCCCATTTCCCCCCCTTTTGTTTCCCTGGCTATCACATATGGAGCCAAAGTCAAGGGCAGAAACATGCATAGGGAATGAAAAAAGAGCTACTTTTATCTTATGCTTCTGCTTGGGAGATGGTCCAAATAACACTTCAGTTGTTATAATCTGTAAAAGAACAAGAGCAAAATTTTCAATTCTTACTCCGAATGCATAAATAATTCTTGTAAAGAAAGTATTAATGGTCAGAATATTTTCTTTTTAGATTTAATCTGTTTTTGAAAACAAGATAGCACCCAAGAGAGCAAAAGCCAAAACAACCTACTATAGACTCAAATCTATTAACAAAATCCACAAGATCCCCCACAGATTTACAATTTTGCCCATTGACCCAAAAGAATAAAGAAATTGAAGTAGCGTATTTGAGAGACCAAATAGGGGTCTCCTCGCCATCAAAGATTCAAAGGATCTCCTATTTCTGTCACACCACAAGCTCCACTATAAACAAAGGGAAGTGGCTATCCAGACGTCTCTGGCTTCGCTCTCCACTTATACACCCTCTCCAAGCCTCAATTGTGTCCACCATGGAACCGGGGGACACCCAATACATACCAAAAGCAGTCAAAAACATAGACCAACATCTCTCGCCACCAGACTAACATATCTTTTACTAACATTGAGTTATTGAAATGAAGGCATGTTTATACTTTGCACTCATTTAAAAACAAGAAAGGGCACTACCCAGTTTTGGTCCTGCCAAGGCAGGATCCTTGGGAGGAAGGAATCGAGACGATCCAACCTTGGTATTTTTCAAAGTGGCTGCTCTAAGGCCAGTGAAGCCGATGCTCAAGTGTTTTACCACTCAACCAGGCAGCGCCTTTTCTTTGCACTTATGATGGAATAATATTTAATGCTGATGATTGATTTTGCTTTGCTTATTGTTTGAATAATTAGTTTTGCTTTTACTGCCAATATGTTTTAATATATATTGACAATAAGTAGAAATATTCTTCATAGGACTCTGAAGGTGATCTACTTCCATTTGTTTTGGATGCTTTGAATGAGGTACGAGTACAAATTTTATTATATGTTAAATTATGTTAATGTAAAGAAGATTTATTGTCCATTTCTTTTGATATCAGTTACCCATCTCATTGGAGTCGATAAAATATGCATTGGATATGGTATTTTGTGATGTGTCTTAAGTCTTTTATGCATACAGATAGCTTTTCATCCAAAATTTCTTACTTCTCGGGTTGAGAAAGAAAGGCGGGCAATATTATCAGAACTACAAATGATGAATACAATAGAGTACCGTGTCGACTGCCAGGTATCACAGCTAGGGATGATCATTAACTCCTTTAGTTTTGTTTTCTATTTTTTGCTGGTCAATGTAATTTTTTTTTTTTGTTTTGGTGCAGTTGTTACAACATCTGCATTCTGAAAACAAGCTGAGCGAAAGATTTCCAATCGGACTAGAAGAACAGATTAAGAAGTGGGATGCTGATAAAATCAGGAAATTTCATGAGCGCTGGTACTTTCCAGCAAATGCCACCTTATATATGGTGGGGGATATCGATAACATTTCTAAGACAGTTCACCATATCGAAGTATGCCACAAATCTAGTAATCCATCAATTCCTTGTATTTTGATGTGCGCTTGTAGAGATATTGAAATATGCTGTAGGATCAATCTTCTGATTGTACTATTATTGCTAGTAACTTCCAGTAATAAGTTCAATTGTAACGTAACATGCAAGTATCATGCAGGCTGTCTTTGGTCAAACTGGCATGGAAAATGAGACAGCTCCCGCACCCGCACCTAGTGCGTTTGGCGCAATGGCTAGTTTCCTTGTTCCTAAGCTCCCAGTAGGACTGGCTGGTAGTTTATCTCATGATAGTTCATCTATTTCTATGGAGCAATCAAAAATTTTTAAGAAGGAAAGGCATGCAGTTCGTCCTCCTGTCAAGCATAATTGGTCCCTCCCTGGGAGCAAAGAGGATGCAAAGACTCCACAAATATTTCAGCATGAGTTACTTCAGAATTTCGCAATTAATATGTTCTGCAAGGTATGAAAGATTTTTTTTTTCCAAATTATATTGTATTAATTTGATGTCATCCGATGTTTCTGCAAGGATTCACAAATTAGATATTAAAGCATCATTTTTCTTGTTTTGTAATCATGTAGTAAATAAAATATAAGTTTGATAATGGGTGACGCAAAAAAAATCCGAGGGAACATGAAAACCAAAACAATTGCACCACTCTTATTGAAAAAACTAGAGTAATAATATGCAAGGTTAATGCGTGAAGTATTTTGTCAAGGATAAAATGTGTTATGAAGATTTCAGTTAACTAGAGTATTTTATTATAGTGTTAAGGATAAAATGTGTTATGACGAGAACTGGGTATTACACTATTAACCCGATCAGATTTGCTATATAGAAGATTTCAGTCAAACAATGGGGTTAATGCCTAATGGAAGTGTCTAAAGGAGCTGTGAAGGTTTATAGAAGTGATACCTGAAAAGACTTGAGGAGAGTGGTTAGAGGAGGATAAGAGGATGGAGGAACAGAGGTAAGAGACAGTGTATAGCTTCCTGTGTATGGAGTTAGTGGCAATAGTAGACCCCTTGCTCATAAGCGAAGGGAGTATCTATCAACAAGGCTGCATGGGGCCGGCATAGGAATGTGATGGACAACCAAGAAGATATAGATGTGTCTAATGCATTGTCTATTTTTACATCGACATGCTCAAAACACGTCCATATTCCCTTTCCCACTCTTTCCTCATGTATAAACTTGCTAGTTAGAGGCTAAGATGTACGGACTTGGACACAGGATACGAACACCCCAATACATGAATATGTTGAGAAGGAAAACTATAAAAAATTGGATATGAACGCAATGAAGACACGATAAAAGAATATATTTCTTTTCATGTAAAAGATTATATTATATACGATAAATTATTTTTTGTAATGAATATATTTAATAATCTATGACGGTAACATTAAATTTGTAAGTTCTTTCTCATCCCCCTATACGATAAAAAAAGTTTAGGTTAAAATCTAATATCATGCAAATTCTAAGATCGTGGAGCACCTGCATTGCATTAGAGCATATAAGTGCATGTTGGGAGATGTAATTGTCTTAGCAATAAACTCTAGATGGAAAGAGTAATACGCTGTCATGGAGTGGAAGACTCATATGTAATAAACAAAAATGGCAAAACCAACAGTCAAGTAGCTTAAGTTCTCAATTATTTGTTCTCTTTTTTATTGGGTTTTGGGGAGAAACTGTAAATCTATAGGGGAGATGGTTGATTTTACATGGACTATTTGAGAGTTTAGTGGCTTTTTTGGCCTTGTGTTGTTTCTTTTGGAATGCGTTCCCCCTTTTTTAATGCTTTCTAATACATTCTTACTTATCAAAAAAAGGAAAAAAGCATGGACGCTAATGGAGATAGATTGAAAAGGTTAATGGCAATAAACTAATAGTCCATGAAGGTTGAAGGCAATAAGTTGGTGAGGCTAATGGTGAGTTAGAGGAAAAGCAATATGAGAATTTATGGTGATATAATAGGTATTCCATCACATCGTTTGGCATTGATTGGTCTGTTGTAGCAATTAATCGCAATAGCCTTGCCTCGAGTGTGTCATGTCAAATGCTCACAAATATATTCTACCAATCATGAGGAATCTTGGCAAGGTATGTAGCTAAAGGGAGCAAGATATAAAGCAGTTTGGCTTCTGAGGAGGACATCAGCTTAGCAGCAAGGTGAATGTAGCCTTACTCGGCTGAAGTGGTAATGAGCATGACGTGTGCCCCGAGGACCGAATTATCGGTATAGTCATAGGATGGTATGAGTCAAACTCGATCGAAATGAACGAGTCCAGATAGAGCATGAAGAAGATGATAAGATTAAGCTCAGGCCAGGGTGTGATCTCAACTCGAAGGTGACCAGGTGTAAATTGATGCACTCATTGCCAATGAGGCTCGATGAGGCAAAATGATGAACTTTGCATATGATGTGGGAGTAAAGAATCAGACTTCTGGACCACATATGAGCCAAACTCAATAATACAAAATGACATTTGCTGGTGAGGACAAAGAAGATAGAGATAAAAGAGGGTTTTGTAGCCCCCTGTTTTTGGAATCAATGCTGATGGAAGAACCCTTGCTGGCTTGCTCATAACTCATTAGTGGAGGGGGTATTTATGGACAAAGCCAAGGCCTAAGCACATGTGAAGGACAACCAAAGAGATAGCGACATTGTCCAATGCATTATTATTCTAAAAGATACGAATCCCTCATTCTTTTTCCCACTCTCTTCAGGTATGAAATCACTTGCTAAAGGGAGAGACCAACAGGTTTTAGGGAGATGGACAACCTGAGGATGTTTCAGCACAATTGTAGTGGCTTTATTCTCAGAGCATCACCCCAAACTAACCCTTTCCCATGGCCTACCAAACTACGACCTCCTTAAGCTTGTTGGATTGGCTTGTGAGGCATGGCATGAAAAATGGATACAATTGGGTTCTTATGTGGCAAGGGATGGGATCCATACCTACTGGGAGAAAGTTTAAGTTAAGTTTAGCTTTAAAACTAATCATGAGAACATTGATTTGGATCCTTATTTATGTATGGTTAATGAAAATGGGGCTTTGGGTCACTATTAGATCATAATAATCTACAGGTTTATTATTTGTCAACAATTATTCTTCTCTTCCTGCTTTTGGCTCCTCTAAGGTTTCTCTATTAACTGCACACAGAGAAGTAACATATTAAGTGTTTATTTAGGTAATCTAATAATTGCTCGATTGCTTTGCTTCAGAGAAATGCACCAAGAGGTAAAAGGGTTGTGATTGATTCACAAAGTAGGCCAATTCCTCTGCACCATACAGTGTTGTTAAGGGCGCGCCTAGGCCTGAGGCGCAGGTCTAGTGCCTGTTGTCATCCCAGGCTCACTGATGTTTACTAGGCGCGCAGGCGCGCCTCGTCTTGTTTGTCAGGCGCGCCTCACTGATTTTTTTATAAAAACTATGATTATTCTATTTCTTAAGCCAAAAAGGGTGCTTTTGGCAACTTAATAAACAAATAAGAAAGCCCAAGCGTACGGGAGAAGAAACTTTTGTTCAAAAGAATAAACAAATAAGAAAGCCCAAAGAGTCTAAGTGTCAACCAAACAGAGAAAGAGTGAGACCGTGAGATGAACGACGAAGCCACGTCAGTTTTTTCTTCTTCTTCTCTCTCTTCTCCTCTACTTCTCTCTCCCTCTTCTCCTCTATTCCTCTCTTCTTATCTTTGTTTACATCTCTCTCTTCGTCTAGTTCTCTTCTCTCTGTCTTTTTTTTTTTTTTTTTGGGGCTCTGTTTTTTCTCATTTTTTTCTTTAACACTTTCTCCCTCTTCTCGTCTGCTTTTCTCTCTTCATCTACTTATTCTGTCTCTGCATCTTTTTTTTTTGGCTCTGTTTTATCTTTTCTTTTCTTGTTAACAGTTTTTTTTTTTTTTTTTGTTAACAGATTTATTTCCTTTTGTGCTCTGTTTTGCCATTCAAAAAACCTAATTCTGCTTTGCCTTTCAAGAAAACAAAATTGTGCTGTGTTTTATGGTTGTTGGATGCTTGTTTAGTTGATGGATTTACTTTTTTATATTTGATATTAATTTTAGAATATTGATATGAATGTTTTTATGGTAGTTTAAATTTTCAATTGTGCACCTCACTTCACTCAGGTGCGCGCCTCGCGCCTAGGCTCCAAAGGACCTCTAGCGCCTTGGGCCTTTAATAGCATTGGCGCCATATTGAGCTATCACAAGTTGTCAGCTTATTTGTTACTATTTGCATGATTATTTCTTGATTGCAAGCTTATTTAATGGCTGTCTAGGGCAAGTTTATCTTCCTTGCTGTCGTGAACATTGTTATATCTGGCAGTTGCTGTTATCCCACTGCTGTTTCTTAAGTCTTGCAGTGACCTAATGTTCAATTTGAAATAGTATCTAATAGTTTCAGTTGTAGACTCTAGCTTTTAGCTGTATTTGTAATCCCATGAGAGATCTACTATTATATAGGACTGAGACATGGCCCAAGAGGTATAGGGTCGTGATCGAATCACAAAGTAGGCCATACCTCCGCGCCTTGTTGACTTATCACGAGTTGTCAGCCTATCTGGTACTCTTTGCATGATTATTTCTTGATTGCAAGCTTATTTAATGGCTGACTAGGTGAATTTGTCCACTTGCTCTCAATAAGCATTGTTATCTCTGGCAGTTACTGTTATCCCACAGGTATTTTTAGTGTCACAGTTCCTAATATTCAATTTGAAATATTATCTAATAGTTCAGTCTGTCAGTCTTTCAGATGTATACTCTAGTTTTTAGCTTTATTGTAATACCATGAGAGATCCGCTATTATATAGGACTCTGATATCTTTCTTTGATCTAATTAATTCTCTCTTTAAAGTAACTTTGTTGTCTCAATTTAAATTGCTGACTTGATTTGGAACTGATACCTGTCTTATACCAGTGTCTTAGTTGTTCTCATGGTCGTGTTCCACAGACTAGCAATAGTGGGAGTACATTGAATACTTATTTGTATTTGTAGATGCACTTTCTATACATTTGGTTTTTGCAGGTTCTTATTTGTTTTGATTACTGTTATGAATCTTTATGCAGATTCCTGTGAATAAGGTTCAGACATTTGGTGATTTGCGAAATGTTCTGATGAAGAGGATATTTCTTTCTGCTTTGCATTTCCGGATTAATACGAGATACAAGGTGCATTGAACTTTTTACAATTTTTTATACTTGCAAAAAAAAAAAAAAAAAAAATGATTGTGAGTTAAGTTATCGTTGTAGAATGGAAACTGAAATAGAAAAAGACGGATAAGCGTTAATGAATGTTAATCATCTTACTCACTCAGGTACAATAAAAAAAATAAAAAAACCACAGAAAAGCTTATATCCCTCCCCAATTTGATTGCAAGTTAAGTTTTCGTTGTCAAAGGTTGTGTTGCTTGCAATTTTAATTGCACTTAAGCAAAATTTTACATTTTTATGGCATCGCTCTCTCTCTCTCGTGTGTGTTTGTGTTTTGGGGGGGGGGGGGGGGGGGGTGGGGGGGTGTGGATTGTGCTCAATGTGAGAATATTTTGTTATTTAAAACTAAGCGTTCTTTGGAAAGTCGTTTTTAGAAGAGGTTTGCAAAGCATATAGAAGTTTGGGCAAAGCAAGGTTTTTGGGAAAACAACAAATATATATATATATTTGATAAGTAGCGTGGACCTAAAAAAAAATTCTTGTTTCTTTGCTTTCTGGCTCTATGTCAAGCCCAAGATGTAGATGGACATAAGTATTGAAAGAAATAAAGCCTCAAACTTTATGCTTCAAATTATATCAATTTTATGGCGTCTTTCATCCTTATTAAGTGGGATTGTGCTTAGTATGATATATTTTGTGACTAAAACTAAGAATGTTTTTGAGAAATCATTTTTAGAACATGTTTGCAAAGCATGTAGAAGTTTGAGCAAAAGGGTTATTGAGACAATTGTTAACATGATCCTCAACTACTATTTTTGGCAGCTTGCTTACTGGCTCTAGGTCAAACCCATGATGTGGATTTACATAAGTATTGAACAAAATAAAGCCTTACATTTAATGCTTGGGCTCCTTATTTTAGCTTATTTTTTCAATACATTGTCTAGTATTGATGTTGCAAACTTTCTTTTGTTAATTGTACTTAGTTTGTGATTTGTAATATTACTTTTAGCTGCTTGGATCTGCAATCTTTATGTTAGCTAATAGAATTTTTTTTACAGAGTTCAAATCCTCCATTCACCACAATTGAATTGGATCACAGTGATTCAGGAAGGGAAGGTTGCACAGTAACCACTCTTACTGTAACGGCTGAACCCAAAAATTGGAAAAGTGCAATTAAAGTTGCTGTGCATGAGGTTTGTGCTTTCTGTTGTCTATGTCACTATTACCGACATCTTTTTTATTGGACCGAGTGTTTTATTTAACACTTTTTTTCTCTCTATATTATCAGCTTCGACTTGTAATCTTGATGCTTTTGCTTGGTTATTGCTGGATGATATATCTTGCATGTCCTTTTATTTTCTGTATTTTCTCCATTATTTACTAAGCACGGAATATAAAACATCATGTTTTTTTTTTTTTTTTTTTTTTTTTTTTTTGATAAATTAATATAAAACATCATGTTATTGAAATCAAGCATCAATTCATCAAATATGGTCAGACATGAATATCACGTGGTCTTTGGTGAGCACTGCTTACCTCTGATTTGTTACCAACTGAATGTTTAGCTAAAAAATAATTTTAATTGAATTAATGCCATTGAATATGTAACGACAATGATATGACATATCTGCATTAATTCTTCCGTTAGTTTTCTAGAAGTTTTATTCGTTTCAGGTTAGAAGGCTTAAAGAGTTTGGCGTCACGAAAGGTGAATTAGCTCGTTATTTGGATGCACTACTGAAAGATAGTGAACAGTTGGCCGCTATGATTGATAGTATTTCGTCAGTGGATAGTTTGGATTTCATTATGGAGAGTGATGCACTTGGCCATACAGTGATGGATCAAAGACAAGGACACGAGTGTTTGGTTGCTGTTGCTGGAACAGTCACCCTTGAAGAAGTAAATTTCATTTTTGAGTATCTATACGTTTTATGTGGTAACCTTTTTATTGAAATATTTCTACATTTGTTGTGTTGTAGGTCAATTCTACGGGCGCTGAGGTGTTAGAATTCATCTCTAATTTTGGAAAACCATCTGCACCTCTTCCCGCGGCGATTGTTGCTTGTGTTCCAAAGAAAGTGCATGTTGACGGAATAGGTGAAACTGATTTCAAGATAATGCCAAGTGAGATCACGACTGCTATTAGAGCGGGTTTGGAGGAGCCCATAGAGGCTGAACCAGAGGTATTGTAGGAAATGTCCTCGCTTCCTGTTTTGAAGTTCCGCGCTTGCTATATTCATGCAAAAGGCATCTAGTGTAGAAATTACTTCATTGATATCATTTCTGTTTACTTGTGCAGCTTGAGGTGCCAAAAGAATTGATATCCTCGCCACAGCTGCAGGAGTTAAGGTTGCAGCAGAGGCCATCCTTTATTCCTTTAAGTTCAGATGTAGATGTCACAAAAATATATGACAAGGAAACAGGGATCACTCAGCGGCGCCTTTCTAATGGAATTCCTGTAAACTACAAGGCATGTCTTCTTCATGTTTACATTGCGTTGCTTGTATCCAGTGGTGTGAAACTGACTGGCTTTAATTATATTAAGATGTATTTCATTTGATTTTGTTAATTTTCAAATATGTCTTTTTTTTGTATTTCCAGACACCTTTTTGGAAGACTGTTTCCGTTGCCCTTTTTTCTAGTTTAGAAACTGGTTGTCTGATTTTGAGATGTTAAAGTTCTTGCTGGACGTGTCCTTATTTACCTCAATTCTTCTCTTCATGATATATCTGTTTTGATCACCAAGAAAAGAAAAGAAACCCTTTTTATTTTATTTTTTATAAACAAAAGAAAAACAACTTAATTGCTACATAGATATGGGTTTCTATTGTTGATTATCATAAAAATATAGAATAACTGGATAGTGGCTCTTCACTTAAATACATTCCTCTTCCCTTATTTTATTTTATTTTTGTCCTCCACGGAAGTACTATTCATAAAATACAATAGTTTATGAACAATATACGTCATTAGTGTTGGGATCAATCTCCTCCTCTGTAGTTGTTCACTTGGTTTCTGTTTTTTATGTTTTATGTTTGTGAGTGCATGCATGTTGATGTCTTTTGATATTTTTACCAGTTTTTATGATATTGATATATTTATGTTTGATATTCTAATATAAAAGATATCAAGAAATGAGGCCCGGGGAGGTGTCATGCGGCTTATAGTTGGTGGTGGAAGAGCAGCTGAAGATTCTGAGTCAAGGGGAGCTGTTGTTGTGGGTGTTCGCACTCTAAGTGAGGGCGGTCGTGTTGGCAATTTTTCAAGGGAGCAGGTAATGATTCAATATTTTTCTGTTGGAGTTTGGTTATCTGATACTTCTTTTGTCACTGTATTACATTTTTAACCTACAAGACCTTTATTGTTCCCCTGCTAGGAAGGGGTATTGTTGATTTTGTTGAGGTTTTTATTTTTAATTATCAGCTAGCCATTCTACCTTTGTAAGAGTTGAGCTTATGAAGTGCTAATGCATTTTTTTTTGTATTACAAAATTTGTTCACTATTTTCTAAAACCTGTACCATTTGCGCTATGCCCACTATATTATCTAACACCAATGATATTCTACTTGCATTACTATGATTTTCCTCTTTATGTTATTTCTGGAACTTGTCCTGGTTGTAATTTTTCTCTCTAATACTTAATATGCTTCTTCAGGTAGAACTTTTTTGTGTGAATCACCTGATAAATTGCTCACTAGAGTCCACTGAAGAACTTATTTGCATGGAGTTCCGTTTTACTTTAAGAGACAATGGGATGCGTGCAGCTTTCCAGTTACTTCATATGGTACTCGAGGTAAACTCAACCTGAACCATATTCTGTTTTCTCTACCTATCTCCCTATAATGTTAAACAATCCCCTCCTCCCCTCCTCCTCGTCCAATCGATGTAGCTTGTCAACCATGGTACTATAAAGGTTGCCTCTTACCTGTCTGCTCAACTTTAGGGCTTTTTTTCTTCTTCCTTCTGGGATCCGAAAGAAAAGAAGGAAAAGGAAGGGGGGTTGGGGTGGTTTAGTACATAATGAATGACAGTTTATTTTTATTTTATTTTATTTTTTCGTAGAGGGCTTGCTGCCTGCAATAATCTACTTATGATTATTATACCATTTGTAATTTTATTTTAGATCATAACCAGGCTTCTAGTTGTCGGCTCGGTTCCAACCTGATTTTGGATAAGGCTCGTGTATTCAACCAGAGCCCAACCCTGTGTCTAAATAAGTTCAACTTAATTGAGTTGACAGTTACATCTTTATAAGTGGTCACATTTAGTTGTGAGTATATTAGTATTATCTGTGGTCCACCAAAATGTTTAATAATTGTTGCTAACATGCAGCATAGCGTCTGGCTTGAGGATGCATTTGATAGAGCAAGACAGTTATATCTGTCATATTACCGATCCATTCCCAAAAGCTTAGAACGCTCAACTGCTCACAAGCTTATGCTAGCAATGTTGAATGGTGATGAGCGGTTTGTTGAGCCCACTCCACATGCATTACAAAATCTAACATTGCAACGTGTAAAAGATGCAGTGATGAATCAGTTTGTTGGTGATAACATGGAGGTGTGTAATTTTCTGCTGTTAAATTTTTTCTACAAGCATTCCATGTGAACATGACATCTTTGCATTCTAATTGTGCACTTATTCATTAGGTGAGTATAGTTGGGGACTTCTCAGAAGAGGAGATCGAGTCATGTATTCTTGATTATCTAGGAACGGTTAAAGCTACAACAGGTGTTGAGAGACCGCAAGGGTTTAGCCAGATAATGTTTCGACCATCTCCCTCTGATTTGCAGTTTCAACAAGTGAGAAATCAAACCAAGTTATAATCTTTCAGAGCTTGAGTGCAAGTTAATTGTCTTCAAACACTTCCTTTGATCATATGGGGTGTCATTATTTGTTCGTGCTACTTGACAGGTATTCTTGAAGGACACTGATGAGAGAGCATGTGCATATATTGCAGGCCCAGCACCAAACCGCTGGGGTTTTACTGTCAAAGAGGAAGACCTTTTCGAATCCATAAGCAATATCTCAGCCAATTATGGTTAGTTCTCACATTATGTGCATAACTTTCTACTAATCCTCAATTTTGTTACATTGATTTTATTTTCAGGAGACAGTTTCGTGACCAAAATCTTCTGGACTCCAATTTCCCCTTATTAAAGGATAAAACTGAGAACATAATATAATACGTGTTGGTACCTTTGGCTCATTCATTCTCAAGGCAAGAGGGTGGGGCAGCCGGGCCTTAACTCTTGACCAACATCATTTACGAAAATAACATAGTTTCTCTGTGTTGGTAGAATAAAAATGCAAAAAGGACATAGGAGCAGAGTGTTGGGCTTAAAAAAGAAACAAGAATGATAGGTTTTTAGGGATTTTTCCCTCTAGTCGGAATTGCCCTGTATTGGTCAAAGACTCATGGGTACTAAATACAGTTTTTTTGATAAATATTTATTAGCTGTATCCTATATAGTACATGTGGATTATTGTGAGCTTTAAGGCACCTCTAACTGCCTTTATGCAGTTGAAATCTAGATTCTGACCATTTAGTTAGGTTTTTAGGGATGTTTTTTCTTTAGTCGGAGTTGCCTTGTATTGGTCAAAGACTCATTACAAAATATGGTTTTTTCAATAAATATTTATTAGGTGTATCCTGTACAATACATGTGGATTATTGAGAGCTTTAAGTCCCCTCTTAGTTGCCTAAGAGCCTGTGACAAATCTAAAAGTAACAATGACCCAACTTCTTTTTTGGGAACATACCCATTTCACGTAATGCTTCAGCTAGCTTGGATGCCTAACCTCTTATCCTGAGGTGACTTGGCACACAATCCTAATGCTGAGTTACAGGTCTTTGGTTGTATCTTCTATTTAATGGGTCCCATTCAGTTTTGTAAGTTTTGACCCTTAGGGTTCTTAATTTAGGACATGGAAAATCCTCTCAAAAAGATAAAAAGAAAAGCAGTGTAACAAAGATTCTGGAAGTGAAAGGATATGTTAATATCCGAAAAAAGGAATCAACTGAATGCTAGGCTACAATCTTCCATTTAACAAAACAGCACCACCGTAATAATTTTTTTTTTTTTCCTGATAAATTAAATCACATTAAGAATGCTTAATTCCCCTTTCCACTGTTGGCCCAACAAGGCCCACCCCTTTGGAGGTGGTTCTACAAGTGTCATCTCCTGTAGATAATTCATTATGAAGAAATATAGCGTTTCAATATTCGTTGGAATTGACTAGGGCTTTATAGTTTGTGACTTTTAATCTTTATTACCATGCTAGCCTCCCTTTATGCTGCCCTTCCGATACCCAAAGCTAAATTCTTTGGCACAACGCTGGTAAATGAATGTTTGATGGTGTCTTCTCAAAGTGTCTTTGTGAATACATTTGACTGATTTTCTGAAGTAATCATTTGGTTCCACCCTTGTATGAGAATGGTTGATGATGAATCAAACTCTACCTCATGAAGATAATTGATGTATCTTGTTAGTTTCTGACAACTCTCATTACCCATGAGACAAAATCTGGTTACATTTTTGTTTTATAATTATGAAATAAAATAAATTCTTGGTTTGCACCTTAGATTTTGCTTTTTCATATTTCTGAAGGGAATGAATTTGCTCCATTGGTTGGACATCCCATCCGGTGTCTTTTTAATTCATCACCTTACCTTTCCCTTTTGCTTTTATCATTTAGATGAAATTTTTCTTCAATGAAAAAGCTTGATTTTCGTCTGCAATTTTTTTCAAGGAAAGGACGGGGAAATGAAAAAGAAAAAGAAAAAAAAAAGTGAGGCATAATGGGATACTTCACCTACAATTTTCGAACTTCAGGATTCACTATTGCAGCTGTTGTTCTTGTGAAGACTAAGATTTTCCTAAACAACCTTCTCCTAAATGTGTAGAGTTGAGCTGGTAGTTTAGTTAGGGTGTAACCAGGACGTTCTGGGTTCAATCTCACTTATGATTAAGTATATTCTCAAACTTTATGGGTTTGGGAATACGAACATAGACTCAGAAGTCAGGAGAAAAAAAGGCATAATGGGGTATTTCACCTGCAATTTTCGAACTTCAGGATTCACTATTGCAGCTGTTGTTCTTGTAAAGACTAAGATTTTCCTGAACAAACCTCTCCTAAATGTGTAGAGTTTAGCTGGTTGTTTAGTTAGGGTGTAACCAGGACATTCTGGGTTCATTCTCACTTATGATTTAAAGTATATTCTCAAACTTTAGGGGATTGGGAATACAAACATAGACTCGGGAGATTGTACTATGATATGCAGAAATGTGTTAAAATTGAGAATTTGCTTTGCAGATGAACAATCAAAATCACAGGAACCACTTGTGGAGGATGGTGTTGAAAAGCAACTGCAAGGAAGATTCCGAAGTCATCCTCTCTTTTTTGCCATAACAATGGGACTGCTAGCCGAGATAATAAATTCTAGGTAATTCTATCTGCACAACTGTATTAGTGTTAATATGCTTTGAGGGAATGGTATCTGCTAACCTGTTATTCAATAATATACTTTATTTGATCACCTGCCTAATATTCACTCAATGAATAAGGCATATTTGCCTCATCCATACATTGTAGTATTTCTAATTAAACTAATATAAATGTGCCTTCAAAAGAATTGCTATTGCCTGAACTCTTGTCCAAGAATGCCAACAAACTTGAAGCGAATTACTACTAAATTTGATCCAGGCCTTACCGGAGCCAGATTTTCATTCATTTACCAAACCTGCCCCTTTCCCATTTGGAAGCTTCTCATACTTGTCACATTAGACTATAACATGTGGTTTTGACCGAGGCCATGTAACCGACCTCAAGTAGTTGGGAAAAAGTCTGGTGGTTTTTGGTTATTGGCGGTTGTCATATTTGTCTCGTTAGGCTAACATGGGATGAAGTAATTAGAAATGACTTTAAAAAATTTAATATGAGAGGAGACATGAGTTGTAATACATTTGAATGGAAAAAGAGAATTCATTTTGTTAGACCACATTTGTTTGGGTAAAGGCAAGGATGATGATGATAATCATACTTGTCGCATTAGGGGTGGGGCTGGGCAGGGCAAATTGCCATCCCCATTTGAATCACAAGACTAAACAAATGGCCATTTGCATTATCGTAATATTAACTATAGTCAGTTGTAGATAAGTAAACCTGTTGGGAACTTAATATGTTGGTGGATGGAATATTCAGACTTATTGCCAGCTATAATATAATTATCAAGGGTATTGTTGGATTACAAAAATAAAATCTGCTGTTGTAATAAAAGAATATCAAATATGATAAGCTGGTGGCATCTCATGTTATATCCTATGTGATAAGAGAATATCAAACAGGAGAAAACAAAAATTGTATAGGACCCAATAATGCCAAGTAGTTTATTCTATTCAACATGTTTGGCATTTGAGAAAGAAACAAGAACAATGCATTATTGTCATGAAATTTGAATGCTAAGATAAATGACTGGAATCTTTTTAAAATTAAATATCAACATATGAAGAGAGAAGTAGGAGTGATACCCACTCAACTCAAGAAAGTTTCTTTTCTATATTTGAGATTGGTTATATGTACCTGATTTGTCATAGGAGGGCCACCTTTGGTCATAAAATAAAAAAATAAAAATAAAAAGTGTCGGCATTAGGTTGTGTGGACAATAAAAAATGTAGACCAGTAGATGCAGCAATAAGGGAAAAGGAAAACTAGCTATAATGGAAGGTAAGAGACGAGGTTGATCAAAACTAATATGGGATAAAGCAGTACGAGTTGTTCATAAGAAATTTGATACGTTAGAAGAGATATCTTGTATAAGAAAAGATTGAAAGAAGATAATTCATATTGCCCACTCCGTTCGATTTCTATCAAAAGTTACACACACATATACATATACTGACTTATATTTGCTTTGATTCCCAATGCAGCGAAATACTGATACTAATAGCGATAGTAAACACATTGTATCTTCTTGACTTTATGATTTTAAAGGTTTACTTATGAGATGCTAATGGCTCCTTTGTTCTCCTAACATGATGAGCATTTCATTATTTTTGGACATGGTGGCTCGAGTTGCATGACTTTATGCATGACTCTTAGAGATAATGTTGTTAATTTTTTTAGTTATTTGGCACTTGTTATGGGATAATCTGAGATTCCTTTCAAAGGAAAATGAATTATTTATTTTACTTTGTAAAAACGAGTTGCATGACTTTATGCATGACTCTTAGAGATACTGTAGTTAATTTTTTTAGTTATTTGGCACTTATTATGGGATAATTTCTGAGATTCCTTTTCAAAATTGTGATATTTTTAGTTATTTGGCACTTATTATGGGATAATTTCTGAGATTCCTTTCAAAGGAAAATGAATTATTTATTTTACCTTGTAAAAATGAATATAATTATATGATTTTACATATGAAATCTTCTATTGTCTTGGCACAGGCTTTTTACTTCAGTCAGGGATTCTCTTGGATTGACATATGACGTGTCATTCGAATTAAACATGTTCGATAGGCTAAACCTTGGGTGGTATGTGATCTCAGTAACATCAACTCCGGGCAAGGTGAGCCTTCTCAGTTTTTGTGTATCTGCAGATGGTGATTTTCTGTCGTTTAAGATTACTCACCAGTTTCAGGTGTAACGTACATCCAGGTGTATAAAGCTGTTGATGCTTGCAAAAACGTCCTTAGAGGTTTGCATAGCAACAAGATTGCCCAAAGGGAGTTGGACCGGGTTAGTTGCTTTACAGAATTAGAACTCTTTAATTTCTACTAGTGTTATCTTATTTAAGCTTGAAAAAAATGTGTAGTCTTCTTGGTGTTTGTCTGAAGGTAGGAGATTCCAATTGAGAAAAAGGTATTTAATGTATATAGCATAATAACTCTTCTGGAAGCTTATATGCTGCTGCTTCCAATGTCCAATTACATACATAATCATGCATATATCACACTGGTGAACATGAATTATGGGGAAAAGAGAGGAGGGGGGGGGGGGGGTGGGGAATGGGGGGGTGAGGTTGGGCGGGGGGCTCGCCATCTTGAGGTCTGAGGAGGCTGTTTTCTGTTTTGAAACTTCCAAGTCATAATGGAGCAACCTTACTGTTGCGCCAAGGCTTGCCCTCATAAAGAAAAAGTAAGATGAATCATATAACAGTCCTGTTGAAGGATTTATATATTTAAGTTACACCCTCTCTAATGGCTTAAGCTTTTGGAGTAGATGGTAGTTAACATGGTATCAGAGCCAAAAGTCTCGAGTTCAAACCTCACAGCCACCATAATTAAAAAAAATTGAAAAATACGTGTTGGACCAAAAGAAGGCCACACGTGAAGGGGCGTGTTGAAGGATTTATATATTTAAGTTACACCCTCTCTAATAGCTTAAGTTTTTGGAGTAGAAGGTAGTTAACATGTCCCAAGTAGGTGGAATGAATAAACTGTCGTGTTGAGTTATTCGTTATTACAAGACTCCATTTCTACATTTACAGGCGAAACGGACCCTGATGATGAGACATGAGGCTGAAATCAAGTCAAATGCCTATTGGCTTGGATTGTTAGCTCATTTGCAAGCTGCTTATGTTCCAAGAAAGGTGACGTGGAAAGTACCAAATGCTTTTACTACCACTTTTGTGTCTGATTGTCTTGTAAAGTGTTGCAGTAGTTACTTAAAACTTCTCTTTATTTTGGTAGTTCCTCTTTTAATCAATATCTTAGAATAAATTTACTTTCTTTTTGGGTGGTTCAGGACATAAAATGCATTAAAGATCTCACTTTGCTATATGATGCTGCCACAATTGAGGACATATACCTTGCATATGAACAGTTGAAGGTAGATGAAAATTCTTTATACTCCTGTATCGGAATTGCCGGGGCTCAGGCTGGAGAAGAAGTTTCAGGTAAAGACAGACTGTACTATGAGTTCCAATCTTTTCAGTTGTGCTGTCTATTTCTCCTGCCTTTGAATTAATAAAATTTAGAGTATAATTGGAAAATTAGGCTTTGATATTCATAAACCAAAGTTGAAGTACTGGAGAACTGCTGTGAGTTTCGAAAATTAAATCAGCCAGGTTGCTGTTGGAGGTTTAGATTGTTTTAATCAGTTTCAAGCAATGAAGATGGGCACCTGTTACGATTTTTTCCCCTCAACATTATATTAGGATGCTTTGTTTATTTCCCTAGATATTCCTTAACAGTTTTCTGATATCCCACCATTCTTGGGATTCTTTCCATTTTTTGTTAATAGTTGTTTAAGCATCAACAGATTTTCCTCTTGTTCTCGTAATTTTTATTTTTTGTTTTATTATACAGCTTCTTTAGAAGAGGAAGAATCTGTTGAAGGCCTTCATGGTGTTATTCCTTCGGGGCGTGGTTCATCCACAATGACACTGCCAACTACTTAATCTTCCTGGATCCCATATTGGGTCTTGTGTTGTAAAAAGAGATTGAGCTTTATGAGGTATGTTACTTCAGCTTTTGGCAATGCCAGAGTTCTTATTTTCTGTTATAACTTCCTATCTTCTCAAGAAGCAGATAAAGATCAAGTGAATTTTAAACAAAGTCTTACAATAAAAACAAAGATCATTGCAGAGAATCTGATAGTTACATTAGTAGAAATTACTGAGTACTAAGCATGTCTGGTTTCTCTCCGGTTTTAGTTTTCAGTTAGTGTGCTTTCCTTGTGTAGCATCACTTGACTGAAGTTGGTAAGGACATTGTTTTGGTGGCAGGTAACCATTATCTTAAAAAATCTCTCCCCTCTCCTGAACCTGAATTATTATTCCTTTTGAAGAGGAGCTCAGACAGAAATATATGGTGCAACCAAAAGAAAATTACAGGAGTTGTTCGTTGTTTGTGTGGTGATGTTAGGACATGAAAAAATAACTAGGTTTAGAGTTGGGAAGCTCTTTCTTTATTTCCACCATTATTAAGGGTCTCTGAGAGGGTCTGTATAGTCCCCCACCAGAAGCTTGTCCATGGGGCAGTGGATAATAGAGATAGGGGGTAGTATTCTCTTTCAATGAAAATTTAGTAGTCTGTTCGAGATATATCCCTTCATAAAATGCTTAATATATGGTTTGCCAAGCATTCGATGAAATACAATCTAAACTACACAGTCATTGATCTATTTTTCAGGTTGGCACTGATGTGAAAGTATGGGTGGATTCTCAAATTGCTTTCCGTGAAGGATTTATAAAAATCTTATGAGACCGTTATGAATTGTTGTCATCTTGAGCTACCCAGTGCACCTCTCTCTATGATCTTGTGACGGTCCAAAGGATTAATGTGCTTCAGGGTGAAATGGATGCAAGATGAAATTGATTTTTTCTTCAATTAGAACATCTCAGAGGGTTGTTCGTGCTGGTTGAAAAGCCAATTTTTTTATATTACACTTACCAAGTCAAGTTGATATCATTATTGATATAGTTGTAATCAACAAGAATGGGTCCAACTATTGTTTCCTTGCTTTGCTAGGTTGGAAAGCCAAATATGTTGTTGTATTACATTTACCAGTCGAGTCAGTTTCATTGTTGATATACACAAAATTACCAAGTTTAATAAAATTTCCCTCAACCATTGTATTACACGTCTCTTTATTGTTCAGATTATGGTATACATTTACCAGTTGACTGGATATCATTATTTACATTTTCTTTGATTCAAAAGCTAAATTTGTTGTAATACATTTTTATGTTGAGTTGATTATGTCATATTTTTTTGAGTTGGTGAATTCGTTTCATTATTGATGTAATAAATAGGAATGGGAAAATCAGTGGTTAATGTAAATGATCAGTGGCATGTTCAATGTGGGGAAGCATGTTTCTCTCCCTCTCAATTGCTTCGGCCTGCATTGTGTTCGTATTTTTTCTCCTTGAATATTTTTCTTGTTTCAGTTTTTAAAACTCTGAGATCTACCTACCCCACCTCCTCAATTTCCTAATCCTGGGTTGATGCATATCAAAGATTCTATTGCATTGTTCTCTTTTAATTGAATCTACAATATTAATTAGCGTTACTGTAATTGAATGATAATGCAAAGACGAAGTTGATATCCTTGCAGGTGGCATGGACATAGATCCTGTTTAATATGTCATTTTTATCAGGCAGCCACTAAATCCATCTTGTCCCTCATGGATGGAGACAAATATGGTGTTCTGCTGCTGTTCGGTACCAACGAAGAGGTCAGGTCAGATATTGCATTAGTTTTGTGATTTAACAAGTCGTTTTGCTGTGCATCCCTTGTAGGGAATTAGCAGTCTCATGTATATGTTACTATATACATGTATATATATATATATATATATATATATATTTATCTGTATTGTTCTACATGTGTACATGCTTAATACATGTGAGAGGTAGGACTTTATTATATCGACATTTACTGTTGTAGTATTTACACAGAAAGTAGTATAACAAAAGGTGGAGGAACCTGTAACCTGCATGTGTTACGGGATTATTATCCTTGTTTTAATCCCATATATAGGAGTATAACAGAAGAAACGCTTTTGAACAATCTACCATCATCTTGGATTGCCGACTGCAAATCTCGACCTGGAGTGGTGGCGGGCGGTGGTGCAGCGCCAAAGTAGTGGTGTGTTGTGAATATGGTGGGGCGAGCAGTCCATGTATATTAGTAACAGAATATTCAGGGAAGACTCTTCCTTTATCTTTCTCACTTGCCTGTGAACTGCCACACCCATTCTGTCTTCCTTGTTCTCCTTGTTGCTCATGCTGCTGCTTGTTCTCTCTCTCCCCTTCGTTGATCTTCACAATTAGTTTACGCACAATCACAACTTTACGCGCTCTATATATGTATATATATATATACTGTATATTCATGTATTTAATATATGATTTACTCTATGAGAACTATATATGTAGTAATAGTAAAATGAGTGGATGGAAGGTAAAGAAATTAAGGAGTTAGGAGAGATGGTGGATGGGAGTTTGTCTCCTTTATTGTTTGGATTGGTATTGACAACTTGGGATGATGATGATGCGGAGACCACTATTTTGAACTGTTGTACAATTTGACAAATCATATACCATACCATTTCATACCATGGCTTTGACAGACTCATAGACTCATAATCAATCTGACACTCGGTCTCTGTCGGGCCTCCAATGGGATGGATTGTGATGATTCTGTGGGCGGGTGTGCCGTGGCGGGTGCGAGAAACACTGATAGACTATCACACTGGCGAGTTACGGGTGTACAAGTCCAACATTGCCTGGAAGAGGGAAAGGTGAAGTGCTTATATGTAAGTGTGTCATCTCCAATTGGTATAAGACCTTTTGGGGTGAAGCTCAAAAACAAAACTGTGTGGACTCAGACTCAAAATGGATAATATCATATCATGTGGTGGAGTGGGTCATTACAAATGGTATCAGAGCTTGACCCAGCCGAAAGTGTGCCGACGGAGACGTCAGGCCTCCAAGGGGGGTAGATTGTGATGACCCTGTGAGCGGGTGCGCGAGAGACACTGTCACACTGACGAGTTACGGGTGCACAAGTCCCACATCGCCTGTCCAAGAGCAAAATCGTAAGTTTAGTTTGAAGCCATTTATTTTTTCGAAATTACAATATTTACGTTCCATATACTAAATCATATTTACAATGAATCTATATAAAATAAATTATCACATCAATGTAAACTCATTAGAGATAAATTTGATAATTTATTCATTATTAATATAATAAAAAATATTCTCTTAAAAAGTTAAATTTTAAAAAGGGACAATTATTTTGGAATGGGAGTATTAAAAATAAAAATATATCAATAATTTAAGCTAAATTAGATAACGATAATTTGCAAACTTTGTAAATAAATTTTGACTGAACAGCCTAACAAAATAAATTTATCATAGACTGAATTTTGTAAATAAATTTTGTAGTATACTTTTTTGTTATAAAAGGTTAAACTTGAATGATGGGATAAAAAAAACATTTTCAAGTTTAATAGTAAAAGAAAGATGTACAGTTTCAATATGCAGGGGCATTCGACACATCCAGAAGTTGAACAAACGACGAAGTTGGACATGATTTATAAGAAGAAAATAACGATAAAGTGGAACACATGCGATTAGTCGCTCCTGTATCAATAATCTATATTGAATTGGAGGGAACTGTAAGCGCAATACCTGCCAGATGAGCATTAAAATTGATACTACCTGAAGAGAGCCTAGCCAATAAATTTGTTGGACTAGCCAAGTGATGAACCTAAAGACGATCGTTAGTTGATCCTTGTTGTTTGTTATTTACAGATGAACTGCTTAAATTAATTTGTGTTTCGATCATTAAGGAAGAACCGAAAAAAAATAAACAAATAGGAATTAATTAATAAGGAAGTGCTAAGATTGATACCATATAAAGAATCCAAATGATGTAAAGAAGACAAATGGTTTTGGTGATTTATTCCTCAACTGAGGAGTAGATCAATAATCATTCTATTTTTATATAGACAAAAATATTACAATATGGAAAGAATCCACCAGAATTAATTTACACGTATTCTTGTTCAACAATAATTCTTGATCTACAAGATCTCAACAATTAAGAAAATATTTATGCCTAAAATAAATCCTACAAAGAAAGTCAAATATAATACATACATGGTAATACGTTAACAAAACTATGCGGTGATCGAAACTAATGAGTTTTCTATAAATATAGGATTGCTCCAAGGCTCAGTGTTAAGTCTATTCTTCTTTGTAATTATTCTAGATGAATTAACAAAAAAAACCTCCAAGAAGATATTCCCCGCCTCGTGCATGGTGTTTGCCGATGATATTGTGTTACTAGATGCTTCCATAGAAAACCTAGCAATAAAATTAGATAGGCGCCACCTGTACTCGTCCAAGTGTCGAAAGTCCATCCTACCATCCGGACTACACCCGCGGGGCAATTATGGAAATACCTGTTCCACATATATATATATATATACACACTGGTAGGGGTAAGTAAGTGATTTTGAATTTGACAATATCTAAATATTTAATAGTTAAATTATAATGATAATTCTACTCAGGAGATATTAGAGTAGACAATAACCAGAATGATATCATGCTACCTACAATCATTATGATATCCGCGAATTTCATTTTTTAACTACCTGAGTAAGAATTTGAAAATTGATTTAACCTATCTCCAAGAAAAAACACTCTTATCAGAAAATTCCCAATAATAATCATATTCTTGTTCTTTTTCTTCTTGTTCTTTTTCTTTTTCTAATTCTTATAAATAATATTTTTTATATTTGGTGAGAATATAAAAGATAATTTCTTTTAATTATTCCTCCTGTTTTTAATGATGTATAAAAGAAAAAATTAATTTTAAACCAAACAAATAATTTATTTTAAATTAGTTGATAAGAAGAAAACTTGACGCTGTCTTAAGAAAAAAACACTTCCGCAACATTTTGAAGTGAAAAAACACTTTTCTATTGCACACTTTTACCAAGAGAAAATAGACTCCTCTTTTTAGTGAGTATACACTTGTTCCTCACTACACTGTTGCCACCGCGGTGGCTCACTCCTGGAATTGCATTCTAGAAATTGAAACTCACACTTTATTTATAGGTATGAATGATTATAAGTAAGGGCTAAAATTTAGCTATAAAACTCTTCATCTAAATATCTAAGATATTGAAAAACTTTACAAAACTTTCTATTCTTCTATAATAAAACTCTTCAATCTAGCATATTTTATAATCTCTCCATATTCTAAAATTTATATATATATATATATATATATATATATATATATATATATGATGACATTGCCTTCCACGGGTATGGGGAGGGAGGAATGGAGGATTTTAGAATATGGAGAGATTATAGAATATGCTAGATTGAAGAGTCTTATTATAGAAGAATAGAGAGTTATATATATATATATATATATATATATATATATATATATATTAAATTTTAAGTATTCAACATTTGTGACTAACTTAAAATTTAACTTAATATTGAGTGGTACTTATTTTTAAAATAATAATCAAAATGCATTATCAAGCACATTTAATTAACCATTTATTCCATTCGAATTAGATTATAGGTCTTGAGCGAAAAACACTATGCATATAAAGTCTAAACCTCTTTAACATTTAATTTTGATGCAAATAAAGACCTGAATGCTGAAAAGACAAAAGTATTCATCTATAACTAAATAAAAAAATAAGTAAAAATAATAATTAAATGTGACCAGTGTGTATATATATAAGGACATAATTGGAAGATACAAGACTATAATTTAAAAATGTTGTGTGCAATGTACATAAATAATTTTTTAACGAAACAATAAAATCAAGCCCTTATTTGTCACATTTTTTCAAACTTAATAGACTTGTCACTTGTATACTCAAAATAAAAGAATATGGATGTTATTTACCCAAAATGTAAACATTAATGGTGTTTTTCTCACTTTAGGAAGAGATAATGGTGTTTTCGGAATTTTATATCTTAACAGTGACTTAAAGTCATTTTTTGTTTATTTTTCAAACTTAACGGACATGCATAACATAAACCCTTATTTGCTCATTTTTTCAAATTTAACGAAATTCTTTTTCCAAAATAT